GCATGCACGACTACTTTCTGCCGCACCGATGCAGCCTCCTTTATTCGCGTACGATACGAGTATTTGCTCGCCATTTGCCGCATACGACTAATGTAACTTTCGGCGCCGATCAGGCATGTAACTTTCGGCGCCGATCAGGCGTACCCACCATGCCCCGCCACGTTCACATGTCAGGGATATCACTCGATTTTTTGCGCCCATATAAGTCGCCTTAACGAGTGAGGCCTCACAATCTTCCAGAACTCAGTCACATTCAGTACTCTCTTCCCCACTTGCTTCATTACAAATCCTACCGGCTTTCGTCAATGGCTAGACGCCGGGGTGTTGAGGATCCGAACTGGCGTAGCAATACTTGTGTATACCTACTACCACCTTGGTGCCAGCGTCCTCTCTGCCTATGCGGTGATCGATGCCAACTAATGGCTTCGAGGAATCCTGATATTCGAGGAAGGCGCTTTTTTAGGTGCCCTAACTATGATCGTGAGGTATTTTATTATCTGCATATGCTTATTCATTCCGTATGGGCAATCGTTTTATTCTTCGTAACACTACTCTATTCGGCAGACCCGCACTACGGCTTACGCATACATCGAGTGGGTCGATACAGAAAATCCCGTTCTCGACCTAACCACTTGTTTACAAGAAGGTCGCTGGTATTTCGCATCCAAAAGTACTGAGCAATACTTACAGAGAAAAGCGGCTTATGAACGACAATGTCGTGAACAACAGAGCGACTGGCAGGTGCTAACTATAGCACTCCCTCCATGGGAAGCCCGTCCAAGATGCAGGTGTGGTGATCGTTGTCAGGTTCTTCATTCCATAAAGCCTACAACATTGGGTCGAAGGTTCTTTGTTTGTCCAAATATTCTTGACGACGATTTCATGGTAAGAATATTTTGATTACATGAATCCTTTTTTTCTCACAACATTTACTAACTTTGCTCGCTTTAAATCTATTCTTTCCTCCCAGGAACCACCAAGGAGATGTCAATACAGAGAATGTATAGACACCAGAAGGGTTCTAACTCCACCTAGCCGTGTTGTGCAGCTTGAACTACCAGAGCAATACAGGGTTACTAAAGCGCGGTTTGAGAGAGGAGAGGGATCCTCACGTAGGGGTTAGCTATTATCGGACAACTTGGCATATTGAAATTTCTACTGTCATGCTTCCTTGTCCCATTACTACATCGTCGTTGTGTTCAACTATTGCACTACCTCCCTCCTAGTTCGAATCTAATATCATCTATGTAACCGCAATGGAAATAGTTGTATCATGTTCAAATTGTACTACTATTTCTTCATGTTACATAACTCTCCTTGTTTAAGTCCATATAATGTTTCTACGACCGAGACTGCGATAGGCCTATATTAATTATCCGAGTACTAATACGTCGAATAAGTTACAAAATAATACCTTACTTAACATATGAAATTGCGAAACAACCAACTTCAATACATTTTTATAACAATATTAACATGTTTTACCAATAAATACTTCTTTATTTATTATTAACATAACATAGAAAAATCGTTTGGCCGTACTTTTTGCATCTGGGTCCCTTGCCGCCCTCTACTGGGGCGGCAAGGGGCCCAAATGCAAAAAGTACGAGCGCAACCTCTTTATGGCGGCAAAAATTGCAATTAGCCCCTTGCCGCCCTCTGTATGGGCGGCAAGGGGGTTATTGCAATTTTTGCCGACGGCGGCAGACGGCGCGGTCGACCCGCTGTCTGCCACGTCAGCTTGTCGCCCACCACTGGGGCGGCAGGTTCTAGTTTTGCAATTTTTTTGGCCGATAGATTATTTCTGTAAATATTAAAAAAAATCTAAAAATGAAAAAAATTCTGTGCAATGGCAGAGGATGGTAGGCATGGTGCACATGAGCGAAACCTATGTGCGATGGCTGCTTTCGTCGAGCCACTGCGCGATTGCATCGCGCTCTCACAGGTGCAGTTGTCTGTTTTGGGAGCGTGATTGTGGTCTTGTAGACGGGCATGGCCGCATGGCCGCAAGGGCATACATTGCCGACAAAACATGAGATAACTTCTGCCAAAAATAATTGAAAAATATACCGTTAAAATTTTCTTTTCTTAGAAATATATGACAAGCAAAAAGGTTTTAGAAGAGAGAATATACCGTTGTCACGAGGGAGTAAAGCAAACTCATGACGACGAGATCGTATGGTGAATCTGCAAAGTGGCGATGACAACAACGATATCGCGGGACTTTGGACTATTTGCCACTCTCTTCAATAGCACATTCTCAAATGCCATCTTCCCTAATAACTCTAATTATTTGTGTTGAAAGTATGTCATGAGGGGCTTTGATCGAGGATGCCAAAACCACCACACCTATGAAGTGCTGCTCGACGATCAAGGGGTTCGACTGGGGTGAAGCCGAGGGGGCAAGGCCGAAGGACGAAGCTAGAAGGGTTCGCCACCCTGTCCATAGGACTTGTCGTCAAGTCTCTGTCAGAGGCGAAGCCGGAGGGGTTCGACCATGAGCTAGATGCCTTCGCCAAACATGCCTGAGAGTGCGGGATGGCCCAAGAAGGCCATTCGCCACACATGGGCTGGCCCACGAAGCCCGACTAGGGCCCCATAGCTAGGATGGACACTATGTGCCCTCACTAATGTCCTTATCTTAAGGGTATCAATATAAATTCTCCTATACACACTAAACCCTAGTGAGTATGAGTCTTTACTAAGACTATAAAAGGCCCTATAGGGGCATGTAATAGGGGATCCAAAAAAATATCATCAATTAATACCTTGTTTTACTATTCAACCACTCCACCGAGAGAACCACGTCTTTCGACGTGAAGCTATTGTCGCTTCGACAACAATTTGCCATCGTGATTCATCAAATTGTTTCTATTTTGCCACTTTTAACTGCCAACACACTAAAAGAAACAGAAAATGACCTTACTGCTCCTCTCATCTCCTCTATCTTTTCTTCTTTCCTCATCTCTCCTATGTTATTCCTCTCCTACGTGAGAATCCCATGTACTGTTGCAGTTGGATGGATGGCGCGAGCCTCCGCGATTTGACGGCGAGGTCTTTGACGAGCGAGGATATGTCGAGGTCACCTCGACCACAAGCGAGATACTCGCGCTGGAGCATACAACTTGACCCATGCCGGCTCCCTCCCCCCCTCCTAAACATCCATTTGCACCGTTTCTCCCAACATCACAGGATCTATGCGAAGGGCCTGCAACCAAGATGTACTACCTTGGCCCCGATGACCCATTCGATGAACCATCAACCATTGTCGCATCCATTGCTTGTCCTGCTATCCGGTTCATCCATGGCGCTAGCCGTCCCTACTGCTTAGCTTGTCTCACACCAGAGATTGGTTCATGCCATGCCAGAGAGGAAGAAGGTAGAAGGGAGATGAATGAGAGGGTAATGAGGTTATTTTCTTATAGTTTTGCTAAGTTGTCAGTCAAAAATAACGAAACAGAGACAACTTGGTGGATCACGATGGCAAATAACAAAAGTTATTGGGAATGATAACATTTGAGAATGTGACATCGAAGAGAGAGTGGCAAATAGCCCAAAATCCCTAACATCGTGCCCGACAAATGCGAAGTGGTTGTTTGCGGAGGTGGACCCGGTGACGTCGCCACTACGCGCTTTGAGTCCACGAGAGTGTGGGCCCCTATCATGTCCTGATAAATCCACCCCGAATTAAAAATCACTTTATAAAAGAAAAGAATAGAAATTATTATAAATCTAAAAGAAATCTCAAGCACTAAACCTCTGTAAATATTTTCTGCTTTAATGAAAATACATTGCTAGGCAAATCCCTAGCAGCTTTCCAGGTGATTTTTTTTTTCAAATTGAGCTTGGAGTATTTTTCCTAAAATCTCCATGTTCAAAATTGGTCCCTCGATTTTTACTTGATTTCTAGAGCAAAAGAAATAATTTTAAAGCAACAAAAACCAAATTTGTAGTTAATTAAAATGAAAACCTAAAAATAAATCTCTCCTTCTCTTTAGGCCATTTCCGGCCCAAAGCTCTTAGTTGCTCTTTCGGCCCGCCACCGGGGTCCTCTTCTCTCTCTCCTCCTTCTCGGGCCAACCTCCTCTTAAATAAATACTCTCTCCGTTTCACAACGTAAGTCATATATATATCTAGATTCATTAACATCAATATAAATATGGGAAATGCTAGAATAACTTACATTGTGAAACGGAGGAAGTAGCTACTTGTTGGTTTTACAACGCCGTAATCTTGTTTTGGGTTTTTTTTTCTTGTAACTTTCCTTGTAAGTATTTTTTTATGCTTTTGTAAAATTACACTATTGGGTTAGGCCTGGTAGTATTCCCTAAAAAAGTTTTTTTTGTTTTTTAAGTTAATTAATTAAACTTGTTCAATATACCGGATAAAAAAATCCCTTTTTTCTTTGTTAACATCAATTCCACATGGACGCAATATATAGTCTGCCGGCCTAATGAAGCGATCAAACCTCCAGACTCCAAAGTCCAAACTCACCTACGGCCTAGCTTTGACAGCTACGTATCCTATACGAACCATCTCATTATTATGGGAAACTACTCTAAACTCGTTGTTATGAATTTTTTTTAAAAAAAATAGATTAATACGTGTTAAATTATTATACTAACATGCAAGATCAAATTCTATTTCTATTTCTATGAGTTGCAACTGAAAAAAATTTGACTACAAATATACGTTAACTAGATATTATTTAATTTGTCTTTTTCGTTGCAACTTATAGAATTCAAATTTTACCTTGTATGTGTATAGAGTGATTTATCGTATATTAACAATTTATCTTGTTATTTTTTAAAAAAAATCATAATCATTTGAATCATATGTAAATAAGGATTGAGAATTTAGAATCCCCTTACCATTATTACCAGCACATCAACGCCCGTGCTGCCGCACGCTGAGCACCGTGCACGAGCGCATCGTTCCGACGTTCCCTTTCTTTCGTCGTGGACTCCGGCTACTCCTCCGCTGCCGCCGCCGCCGGCGGAATGCACGTCGTGATCTGCCCATTGCTCGCCTTCGGCCACCTGCTTCCGTGCCTCGACCTCGCCCAGCGCCTGGCGTGTGGCCACCGCGTGTCGTTCGTCTCAACGCCGCGGAACATATCCCGCCTCCCTCCGGTGCGCCCCTCGCTCGCGCCGCTCGTCTCCTTCGTGGCGTTGCCGCTCCCGCGCGTCGAGGGGCTCCCCAACGGCGCCGAGTCTACCCACAACGTCCCTCACGACAGGCCAGACATGGTCGAGCTCCACCTGAGAGCTTTTGACGGGCTTGCCGCGCCCTTCTCGGAGTTCTTGGGCACCGCCTGCGCCGACTGGGTCATGCCGACGTCGTCCGCACCTAGGCAAACACTAAGTTCTAACATCCACGTGAACCATTCATGAGATGGAAGAAGAGAGGCAGAACCATTGAAGACATACGCACATGATAGAATTGCAGAGAAACTCGTCCCGCCCAGGCACCCCGGCGCCCAGCGGTCGCCTCCTTTGCCCAATCACTCCTCATTCGAACACGCTCGAGCGCGCTGCAGAGAAGCTCGTCCGCTCCTCGCGCCAAAACGCGCGAGCTCGGTCCCTTCTCGCCTTTACCTCCCCTCCCCTTCCTTATCGCGACGTTTTTCGGTCTCTGCTTGGTCTGCAAATGGGCCGAAAGCAGCTGAACATCGCGCATGAGACGAATGGGAGGAGGACAGGAACGCTTCCACTGAACTTGTGCCGTTGGATGTGGAAGCAACGGCGATGCGGAAAGCTACGTCCCTCTGACGTAGAATTTAATACGTCGCGCAGTAATGAAGCAATCAGCCCGATCGGAGCAAGCTTGGTAAACCTCCAAAGTATACAAAGTCCAAACCCACGGGCGGTACTGCCCATCGCATCATCAGGCGTCCGGGCGGTATTCATCGGTCGCGCCCGCACATCGACGCCCACGCCGCCGCACGCTAAACCCGCCCGCTCGGCCGCTCCACGCGCGCACCGGCCCCCTTCTTCCGTCATGGACTCCGGCTACTCCTCCTCCTACGCCGCCGCCGCCGGGATGCACGTCGTGATCTGCCCGTGGCTCGCCTTCGGCCACCTGCTCCCGTGCCTCGACCTCGCCCAGCGCCTCGCGTCGCGGGGCCACCGCGTGTCGTTCGTCTCCACGCCGCGGAACATATCCCGCCTCCCGCCGGTGCGCCCCGCGCTCGCGCCGCTCGTCGCCTTCGTGGCGCTGCCGCTCCCGCGCGTCGAGGGGCTCCCCGACGGCGCCGAGTCCACCAACGACGTCCCCCACGACAGGCCGGACATGGTCGAGCTCCACCGGAGGGCCTTCGACGGGCTCGCCGCGCCCTTCTCGGAGTTCTTGGGCACCGCGTGCGCCGACTGGGTCATCGTCGACGTCTTCCACCACTGGGCCGCAGCCGCCGCTCTCGAGCACAAGGTTGCACCAAGTCCTACTAATAGCTCAATCTTTGCACTAACCTTAATTACATAATTCCATCATTGATGCTACGTTATTCGCCTTAGGTGCCATGTGCAATGATGTTGTTGGGCTCTGCACATATGATCGCTTCCATAGCAGACAGACGGCTCGAGCGCGCGGAGACAGAGTCGCCTGCGGCTGCCGGGCAGGGACGCCCAGCGGCGGCGCCAACGTTCGAGGTGGCGAGGATGAAGTTGATACGAACCAAAGGCTCATCGGGAATGTCCCTCGCCGAGCGCTTCTCCTTGACGCTCTCGAGGAGCAGCCTCGTCGTCGGGCGGAGCTGCGTGGAGTTCGAGCCGGAGACCGTCCCGCTCCTGTCGACGCTCCGCGGTAAGCCTATTACCTTCCTTGGCCTTATGCCGCCGTTGCATGAAGGCCGCCGCGAGGACGGCGAGGATGCCACCGTCCGCTGGCTCGACGCGCAGCCGGCCAAGTCCGTCGTGTACGTCGCGCTAGGCAGCGAGGTGCCACTGGGAGTGGAGAAGGTCCACGAGCTCGCGCTCGGGCTGGAGCTCGCCGGGACGCGCTTCCTCTGGGCTCTTAGGAAGCCCACTGGCGTCTCCGACGCCGACCTCCTCCCCGCCGGCTTCGAGGAGCGCACGCGCGGCCGCGGCGTCGTGGCGACGAGATGGGTTCCTCAGATGAGCATACTGGCGCACGCCGCCGTGGGCGCGTTCCTGACCCACTGCGGCTGGAACTCGACCATCGAGGGGCTCATGTTCGGCCACCCGCTTATCATGCTGCCGATCTTCGGCGACCAGGGACCGAACGCGCGGCTAATCGAGGCGAAGAACGCCGGATTGCAGGTGGCAAGAAACGACGGCGATGGATCGTTCGACCGAGAAGGCGTCGCGGCGGCGATTCGTGCAGTCGCGGTGGAGGAAGAAAGCAGCAAAGTGTTTCAAGCCAAAGCCAAGAAGCTGCAGGAGATCGTCGCGGACATGGCCTGCCATGAGAGGTACATCGACGGATTCATTCAGCAATTGAGATCTTACAAGGATTGAAGCATCTCAGGATGTACACCTGCAACAGTGCAACTACAAAATCCTTGGAATAAAATGATTTTTGTTTTGTAGTCCACTTACCCAAAATATGCAAAGGCCGAACGGTGGGGAAAATTCTAATCCTGATTTTTTTTTCATTTTTGTTTTTCTTTGTTATTTATCAATTTGATACCGCCCAGACAAAGTTGAAATTTAATTGTAAAACTTTTTATAGTACATGGAACACGCACAACATACTCATTTCCTGTAGAGTAATGCTCCGGTGCAATCTACTTGCAGTATTCTACTCCGAGTAGAATTAATCTCGACCGTTTATTTTAAAGGGCAGGTAAGTAATCTCCTAATATCGTTTAGGGGTAATTTTGGTTTGGGATGTTTTCTTCGGTTCGCATCGCATCAGGTCCGGACTCCGTCGCATGCAGACACCTCGCTATTCCTCCCCCGGCCTCGCCGCCTTGTCCGCCCCCTCCGTCACCGTCTGTATCCCCCGCCGTCGCCGCCTTGTCCGCCTCCTCAGTCGCATCGTCCGTCTAGGAGCGGACGAGCGTGGCAGCGTCCGAGCGAGCGACGATCTTGAGCAGGAGTTCTGGTGGTAGTAAAAATTCTGGCATGGGCTTCGGCGGCGGCATCACGCACGCACGCAACGTCATTTGCGTGGCGGCATCGTCTCAGCTCATTCGTCTTCTTGTCGTTCCGATTGTTTCATGGATTACATGGATCGATTAAGATCTTGCACGACCAACTCCGACGAGGATGACATGGTGATTGATCTATGGATTGGAAAACGATAATACCCCTACGCGAATTATTTTTCCTGGATGAAAACACCCCTCCACATTTCTACTTCCACTAATTCTGGTGGGAGTAGAACTAGATCTCAGCCCTACAATTAAATATGATCAAGGGCCCAAATTACTTTCTACTCCGAGTAGAAAACACCGGAGTAGGACTGTTTCCTGTATGTGAAACTTTTTTCGAGATTTTCCAAAGAAAACATTCATTATTCATTATCTGGCATCTCGGAGAGGGCGAGAGGCAAGCATGATGCAAGTGTACCATGCTAATAATACTGTACTTAGGAGACTACTGACTACTCCACGCGGGCGTCAGTCGTCAAAGTTCATAAATAGCCGGCAGCGGAACGTCTGATTCTTTAATTGGTGGAGAACTTAACTTTGCACTCAGCTTGACAAATTGTACAGGCAAGATATCAAGATCACGGGCTTTTTCATCTCCAAACGATCACAATCTTAACTTAAACAAACCAGGGTGGAAGGTAGGCAAAGAAGAAAAGTACAAAGTTGCATTGTGAAGTTGCAGTAAAAAAATGTCGGATGACATGCAGATACAGCAAATGCTTGACTTCCTCGGTGGCGGTGCCGGCCTGCCGGCTTAACTAAAGTAGTTCCTTCCCTGATTGGATCTTTCAAAGTCTCCACGACTCCAAAGTGCAAACATATATTTGAGCGGTTCAGCCCGTGCTAAACTGGAAACTGTTTTTTGGATGGACGCCCACCTATTTATTACATATCAACTAAACAGTTATAATTTTTTTAAAAAAAACAAGATAGATTAATATGTAATATATCATTCGACAAACATGCAAATTCAAAATCGACTTCTATAAATTGTAGCGAAAATAACAAATTTAATTGTGAATTAATTTGTTATTTAATTGACATGTTAGAGTTTAATACATATACTAGTTAGAGTTTAATTTGTTGTTTTTGTTACAGTTTAGAAAAGTTAAATTTGAACTTGTATTTTTTGGAGTGATATATTACATACTAATCTATATTATCGTTTTTTTTAATTTTTTTATAACTATTTAGTTAACATGAAATGGGTGGACGTTCATTTAAGATATTAGAATCCATCTTCATCCCGCGTCTGCTCGATGATATCCATGTTCTTGAAATAGAATCCAGATTGCTCTACCTCTGCCTTGCGTGTTACAGGAAGAAAGCTGCTATACGTTCGACCGACGCGTACGACTCAACGGCGGAATACACGACGTGAGCCAGCAGCCCAGCACTGACTTGGTTATATGGTTTGCTGCTCCCACTGTCCCACAGTCCCACATAATCCACGTGGAAGCACATCAAAGCTCATATATAAAGCCCAAACTTCAGGCATGGAAAATTAAATCAAACAAAACCGTTGATGTAGATGTTTGTAAAAAAAAAAAGAGAGATGAAAAATTTAGAGGAGAAAGGGAGGAGACTAACAAAGTTCAGCGGCGAGGTAGGCGAAGCTGCGAGGCAGCCGCCCGGTCCCCTCCCCACTCGCGGCTACCTGGCACCTCTCCGACCTGGCGTGGCGGCGGCGGCTCCCAGCTAGCTCCGGCCTGGCGCGGGCGAGGGAGGCGAAGCTGCGAGGCGGCCGCCTAGTCCCCTCCCCACTCGCGGCGGCCTGGCGCCTCTCCGGCCTGGTGTGGCGGCGGCCTGGCGCGGGCGAGGAAGGCGAAGCGGCAAGGCGGCGATGCGACCACGAGGGATTTGGGCGTCGGGCGGCAGGAAACGGAGAGCGTGGGCTGAAAACGGAGGCTGCAGGTGGGCCGGCGCAGCAGACCGTTCGATTAGATTTCAACGCTCCAGATCGCTCCAATGTCACACCATGCCATGCCATAACAATGTCACTGAATTTGAATCCCTACCACACGGTCATCACCGCCGGCGACAGCTATTCCTTGCTTGCGCTGAGGTCTGCTCGTCGTCGTGTGTGTTCATGTAGGGAAAAGGAGGATGTAGGAACACTCAGAAAAGTAAGAATGGAAAAGGAATAGGAGGCGCTGACATGTGGATCCTACATGTTGATTCAGCATGTTAGACTAAGTCAATGAGCCATGTCAGCAAGAATCGCTTTCAAAACCACCGAGTGATTTTGTATCAGTTTTAACAATTTGGGGTTCAAGATATACGGTTAAAGGTTACAAATTAGATTAGACCTATATTTGAGGGAGTCAAAGTGGACTTATTCTCACCTAGCAACACTTGAGTTTCCCAACTCAATCCTCTCGTTTTCTACGTGCACGTTTTTCAAACTGCTAAATGATGTATTTTTTGCAAAAAAAAAAACCTATACGAAAGTTGCTTTCAAAATTATATTGATCCATTTTTAGAAAGAAAATAACTAATACTTATTTAATCACGCGCTAATGGACCGCTCCATTTTATGTGCAGGAGGATTTGTTCCCAACTGCATCTACCGAATGCATCCTTATTTTGACAGGTAACCAGGAAGGCAACAGGCCCGGCCTGCTCCTGGCCAGCATGTTAGACTAAGTCAATGAGCCATGTCAGTAAGAATCGCTTTCAAAACCACCGAGTGATTTTGTATCGGTTTTAACAATTTGGGGTTCAAGATATACGATTAAAGGATACAAATTAGATTGGACCTATATTTGAGGGAGTCAAAGTGGACTTATTCTCACCTAGCAACACTTGAGTTTCCCAAGTCAATCCTCTCATTTTCTACGTGCACGTTTTTCAAACTGCTAAATGATGCATTTTTTTGCAAAAAAAAACCTATACGAAAGTTGCTTTAAAAATTATATTAATCCATTTTTAGAAAGAAAATAACAAATACTTATTTAATCACGCGCTAATGGACCGCTCCATTTTGTATGCAGGAGGATTTGTTCCCAACTGCATCTACCGAATGCAGCCTTATTTTGACAGGTAACCAGGAAGGCAGCAGGCCCGGCCTGCTCCTGGCCCAAAACTCGTTGTCCTAATACCTTCACGGGCCGGACTTGGGCACGGATTTTCGGCCCGTACAAAATGGGCTTTTCTTCTACGCGGCCCGATCAGACCCGGCCCATTCCCAGGTCTGCCGCGGGGAAATCGCCTTCGGGCTTCGGCCCCTTTGCACTTTTGCAGAGGAGCAAAGCTTACAATAGGGCAACCCAAACCAAACCCTGGCCAACCCCACCTCCAACCCCCCGCGCAGCCGAAGGAATCCTCGACGGCGACGACGATGGCCGCCGCGACGGAGAAGACGGCCGAGGAGATCCGCCGCGAGCTCCAGGAGCTCCAGCGCCAGCACCGCGAGGTCGGTTTCTCTCCCTCTCTCCCTCCCCTGAGAGACCACCCTGTACTCAGCACGATCTCCTCTCCCCGTGCGCAGATCAGCGAGCGCCTCCGAGACCCCCGCGGCCTCCGCCGCGGCGCGCCCGCCGCTGCAGGACCCGGCGGGCCCCGCCCACTTCGCGGATTCCCTAGACCAGTACGGCGTCGCGATTGCGTCTCCTCTTCCCTTTCCCTTTATTTTGTATTCGTGATTTGATTTATTTCCGTGTTCTTGTGTTGCAAGGCTGTGGATTTGGTGGACCAGTCTGCGCCTAAGCGGAGGATTCTATCTGCAGTGGTTAAAGTATCCGCCTAGGCTTTGGTTTTTTATTTTCCTTAGTCAAACTTGTGGTTTGTTTGTCGATAACCCTAATATTCTGTGCATTTGTTTGGTGTCATGAATGGAGGTGGAGGATACTGAAGCTAAGGAGGATGTCAAGAAGGAAGCGGAGGCAGAGGGGCCGGAGGGCGGTTCGGCTGCTGCTGAAGGCGGTGAGAGGAGGGATGGTGGGTTCAGGAGGGATGGGAGCCAGCGCATGCCGAGGAGGGTGAGTAGGCTGGAACTATAGGGGATTGCGGGTTGAGTTTGCTTAACTGTATTGTTTTGGTTGCAGGAGTTTGATATGTCATTGCCAGAACCTCTCCCGAGGGAATTTCCCAAGGATGAGGATCAAAGCCTTGTGAAGAGGAACAAGAGGATGCTGGGGAAGCTTCTTGTCGGTACATTAGAGGTAACCGATTCAATAGACATACAAAGGAACAATCCATGGGTCAAGCGATAATAAGATATCAACAGTTTTCAGTGTTTCCTCTCCAACTGATACACACAAAAGAAAATTTTCAGTATTTGTTAACTAGCTTTATCTTGGGTATGGCAACCTGTCAATTAGGTAGGAATTTAATGGAAGTACTAGTGGCAAGCCACCCTTAGTCCCCTTCATTGTGAATATTTCAAATCAGTGTAATTGATTTTTCCTTGTGCTTGGTAATCCAGAAATTTCAGCAAGAGGACAAAAAACTGTCCAACACAGAGGCTTATATGCGCAGATCAGAGGTTCAGCGAAAGGTACTAACAATTTCTCTTGGTCTTGGGCCAATCTACATTTAAGCATGATTTAGTGGCTGATGTCAGTTGCATCCACTTTATTCACATGATGACATGTGCTAATTAGAAATTTGATTTTCATACATGGAATTATGAATGTAATATTGCTGTTGGAATTTAACTATTGTGTCCCGTGCCATGACCCATGAATGAACCAAACGATCTCAATAAAACACATACATCAACAGAAAACGTCTTGTCTCCTGATACTACATCAATGAAATTTAGATAAGTAGAATGCATTTTTCAAGCAGTGTTATGTTTTTCTGTTCCTGTGGTCCTGAAAATATCTATTCCCATAGGAACTATCTAGCGCACATTCACTTTATACAACTACCTTTTTGTTGCTATATGCATTGCCCTAGTAGAACTTTGGACAGTACCATGAGTTGAATGGACCGTGTTAAATTCTTTTTATTACCATTCTTTTGCTGGACTTAGGCTAAGTGATCTTCCATTATTGAGATATCGATTTCATTCTCTAGGGTCTCAGTTCTTTCTTTCAAAGTAATCTCGCATATACTATGGTCTAGCCTTGATTTTATTCTCGCTATTAGGTCTGATGTAGCATGGAATATTGAAAAAGATTGCGTGAATGTAGGCTGATCAAAAGGCTCGTGAGGAAAGTGAAAGGTTGCGGCAGCAAGAGCGAGAGCAAGCAATAGAGAAGCGTAAGCGTGATATGGTAAGCTCACATCAGTGTTTATGACTTGCATTTATTTATGATTGGTTCACCTGAGTTAAATTGATGAGTTTATGTTGCAAATGGTTTCCTGATATGCTCTTGAATAGATGCTGCGTGCTCGAGTAGCTGCTAAGGCAGAAGAAAAGAGGTTGGAGCTGTTATACATGCAGTGGGCTGAGCATCACAAAAAGCTGTCCAATTTCTTAAGGTCGCTTTACTTCTTTGCATCATTCTGCACCTTTTTTTATCCATGAATGGGGTCCCTTTTTGTTTCCTTTTGTTGTGCCACTTTGCAATATTTTTATCTGTATTTATCTTACTCTTTTATGAACTGGTCTTATTGTGTGCTGCAGGTTATTTTTATTCCTGGTCCAAAAGTATCCATATTGACAATTAAATTGAGGGAAGATGCGTTTCTGATTGTGCAAATCTTGATGTTTGATGTTCATAGGGGTTTCTATATCCATTTTGCTAAATTACACATTAGTATCTTTTTGAACATTATTGTTGTTTGTCAGGACAACTGCGGAACCACCAATTTACTACATGCCAGCTAAACCAATAATTGATGATCCGGCTATTGCTGAGGAGAACAAGGAAAAGGTATTTTCTGCCCTATATAAGTCAAAGTAAAAACGCTAAGTTTACAAATTTTTGAAGGATGAATTGCGACCCTTTATACACACCTCCATCTACATGCAACTTGGGAGGCAGAACACTACAGATGTACACAATGAGGACAAACTTGTGCCTACTACAAATAATAAATTGTCTATTTTGCTGCTGTAGTATTTGTGTGGCATAGCTAATTTCATCATAGGGCACCATCAGAATGCCAGTTGCCTGCATATATCCAGTCCTGTTGGTTTCTGCTCTGTCATGGTTCAATCAAACATCAAATAAGTACAACGGCTAACTGATCAGCCAGCTATGAAATTGCTGCCCCCCTCCCCCGCATTATGATTATTTTGGTGACATGATATAAAATCTTACCAAAAAATGCATATCGAATCAGTAAGATTTCTGGGCACTTGAAAGTACGTGGTCAGTGCTATGAATTTGTCATATTTTACAAAGCTTTATACTTGAAAGTGCTCTGGTGGTTTGGGTGGGACTGGCTGTATTCGATAACTGTGCATCAATGCTCTTCCTTTGCATGTATGGAGCATATTGATCTAACCTTTCACGGGATAGTCCTTGGTCAAGTGCAACATATTAAGAGAATGCCACTTCCGCAAGTCAATACTCATCTTTCACATTTTGCCATTTACATCATATGCTTGCTAGTTTCCTGGGCTTCCTTTTTTGTACAATCTGGGGCAACCGATTTTTCTTTGTCCTCTTCATCCATCATGAACTCATATTCAATGTTGCAGGCATTTCAAGAATGGAAATCTGAACGCAGGGCTGAGCTAACTCAGTTTCAAAAGCAAGTCGAAGAACAGTACATGTCTAATGTTGAGAGGCAGTTGGAAAGGATGCAGAATGCGCGGAATGCACGGAGGGGTAATGGTCCTTCAAACATGCAAGAAATGGACAAGGAGCTGGACACGCACAGGGCGGAGCATGGTCCAAAAACTCGACGAGTTCTTGAGGGTGGCAATGACGATGAGGATGATATGGACGATATGGCCGTGGAAGATGAGCTGATGGATGAAGTCCTTGGCATTAACGAGCCAATCAGCGATGAGCAAACCAAGCCGTCTGAAGAAGCTGCTGATGGTGTTCCGGTGTCTGAGGAAGTGCAATAGGTAATTTGTTTTGTATTGTTGCGAGGTAGGCATCTAGGAGTTCCACATTTGATATCCTTCAGCTGCCCTCATTTTCTGACGCTTGTTGTATGTCTGTTGACGCTTGAGATTTTCCCCGCTGTTATCAAGCCATATATTGTTGCGGGATGTATTGCCGTTGAGCGATATACTCTGTTAATCATTGCATCCTTTGCGTTTCTAGTATAAATCGAGCAATTTACTGATGAATGTTGGCTTGCCCAGCGACAGGGGTTATCAAACTGTCTTAAGATTACCATGATGGTTGACATACGAAAGTTTAGAACTATTTTCTGAAAAAAAAAATCACAGTTGAACTGAAATTCGTTGGAGCTTAATAAGAAGCTTGCCGACTGTAAAGTAATTCCAATGGGGGTATATGTTAATTCTTTACAAGAAGATCTAGATGTGTGGCCGCATCGCTGCTATTTATTGTTCAGTCTCGCTCAGGGAAAGCCTTCTCCAAGAAACTTGCAATATCTATTTACTGTTCAATCTTGCTCGGGGAAAACCTTCTCCAAGAAACTTATAAATCGTCTCGAATACAAATTTGGATCAACAGCTGATATCGAAAGAGGGTCGAATTTTAGTGATTTGACAGCATGCTCAACTCTTTTGGACACATTATACTCTTGTAGTATGTCGATGATACCAAGGTATAGGACAACATCATACTCTTCAATGGTGTCCCTGTTTTCTACTTCTACGTTCACGTCCTCTTGCACTTTCCGAGCTCGAGCTGGCATATTCACCCCTAGCTGAACACGGAACCTGAAAATAACGAACAAATGAGTCAGAAACAGAATGCATCTTTGTGAAAACAAAGTACCACGCAGACCATAGTTTCAGAAAAAAACATTGACGGCATGTAAAACGTGTGAATATGTGGTTGGGATTTTCTGCACTTATGATATGCAACTGCACCAACGGTAAGTTTAAGTTAGTATAGCAGGGGCACAGGTGCAAAAAAGTGTAAAACCACCGCCGTATGTGCACTAAAGAAGACAGGCAATGTATATTACTGATATTTCTTTCCAAATATATGAACACACACTTGACCTTGTTTTACCATGCACAAAAATGATAATTCTTTTGACACAGCCTATTCAAATGCACGAGCTATTATATGCTCTACATCTATGAATGCTTCGAGAATTCACACTTAACTATCAACTTGCAAACGTAGATGTTGCATTGAATAGTCATAAAATTATCGTGTTGTCTGGTGGAGCTGCCATGGTTCACCCAACGTTGAGTTGTATTGTGAATGTTTATTTTAAAGCTAAAGGGTTGATATAAAAGTTCAAAAAATCAAATAATGGATCAAGTCACCAACAAGTTCGTTGTACTTTGTACTTTAGAACACACTGATATACTAAGAAATCTTTCCTGAAGAGTGTGATAGCTATACTACGCAATTTATATTCTTTCTTCTATGCATGTTCAGATTGTGCAGCAACAAATATACCCAATGCTAAGTTGAACTTTGAAATAATTAAGTACAAGTCAATCTACCTTCCAGTGCCTGGCAAAACAAGATCAACTTCTTCATAACCACCTTCTGCTGCCCTAACCATGCTTCCTCTTATGTGCGAACCACGTACTGCTGGACCTGGCTCATCAGCAGCAACTAGTAGAAATCCCTTTGAAGAAATTGTCTCCTCATGATGCAGTGCAACACTACCTGATTAAGGTGAAAAAAAGACTAAGATATTACCATTAGGCAACAAATGGAAGTCAAAAGCTGAAGATAGGCAATTGGTTGATGTAATGATATAAAGAATCTGGTGTAGTCCTGACTTCAGATTTAGTAAAAGGACAAATTTTCAGAGGAATATAATAAAGAGAACTCAGATGTACTTAAGGTTTAGTACGTACATTCCGTTTCAGCTGAAATTCCAGTACTTTCAAGAGCGTTCTGACATGATGTGATACGCTTCAGGTGATTGGGAGCTCGGAAATGGATTCCCAATAGCATGCTATAGTCAATTATAGATTGGGATTCCAGGAACATACAATCAAGAGCTATCTGCCTGAAAATAGTACAACTGTTGGCTCTCAAGATATCATCGTCAACCATGTTAAGAAAAATAGCACAGCAGAAATGGAGCAGTAATATGCAAAACTGAACTAGACAGCTGGAATTCAATCTCTTGTATGCATGGTCGGACACTGCTTAAAATCTGGTTTGCCTCTTTAATCTAGTTGTTTATATTTAAAAAAATCTATTTATTGCTATAGTATAAATAAAAATTGTCCATCTTAAGTATTCTTCAGATCTCAAGAATAGGATAAGAATCAATATCAAAATAGTAGAAAATAATTTTGATGTCCACCAATCATGGGACTGAAGCAGGAATCTGCACAAGTCATTTAAATCTACTGTTCTTTTTAATTTTCCAGAAGGGACTACCCAGTGAACACAATCTCCAGAAGTAACATCATAAACGGTAAGTTATGGAACCTGGACTTCAAGCCAATATAGACAAAACCATGAAAGACGACAGTAAGATGTTCAGAAAAAAGAGGAGCAAGAAAGTAGCAATTTGCCTGAAAAGTGCCTCCCTCCATGGTTTATCCACGTGAAAAACATATGATAGGTCAAGGTCCTTTAGTGTTGTGTTCTCATTTATATTTTGCTTCTTTGTTGATCGGCCTTGTGTAGAGCCCTTTAAGTCATACTTACGATGAATTCGCAGTTCAGTACAAAACATATTTCCCATGACAACAAAACGGACCTATTAACACCATACATAGAATTAATATAGCAAATGTGTACAAATAGACAACAACATTCAACACAACAGTATGATATGATAATGTACCTTTCTTCCAGGTTTCAGAGTAATCCTGTGCACGCCAAAGAATTTTGTAATGAGCGTATTATCATAAGCTTTGACATGATTGTAATACTTTGGAAGCATCTTCAATAGTATCTGCAGCACGTATTACATCAAACCAATCTGCAGTAGGCATATCTTATCACTTAACAAGGATATACACGGTTTTTAGCACAAATCTTTGTTGTTCTTGTAAAGCTCAGTTTTAGTCATTTTTAATTAACAAATAACACTATTGTTATTGCAAGAAAAAAATTGAGGGTGGGTCATACCTTCAGCTCAGTTTTCCTCAATGTTTTTATAACAAAACGTTCATCTTGAGAAAGATAGAAAATGCTGCCACTTTTCCCAGGTGAAGAAAGCTCCTTTAGACTATCACCACCACATATAGACATCATGTAATCTGCAGCATCGATATGAAACATTTCTCGAAGATTCCTGGTAGAGTAAATTATGAGCTAATAAGATATGGAGAAAATTACAAGAACAATTGACAGAATTGATCGAACTTTCAAGTCGATGCATTTCTAAACAATGTCTGTATCATCCTGCAGTGTTATCTGAAAATATGATAGTGATAGCATATATATACATAAGATCATGGTTGCAATTTCCTACAGTTAACAAGGGAGGGGTGAACCACAGAGGAGCAACCACCCATGTTCAGTACAGAATGCGTGAACCACCTATGTAATACAATCAGATGATATAATAAAAGAACAGTATGAAGTACTAGACTATCGCACAATGAGAAGATTGGAAAGAGATATACCGGAAGACCATCGGACAATAGTCTTTCCAAAAGAAATCGACAGAGTAGTGCGGAGGGGTATACTGGGATCCCTCACAAGGGAAGTACATTTTTATTCGTGCTCGAGGTCCAAAATCATTTGAACGAACTTCACGCAAAGGCACAGGGGTAATTTTACCTACAGTATACCTGCATAGAAGTACTGTATAGTCAAATGGGGTAATCATTAAAAAGAACATCAACTAGTTACATGTCGTGAGGTAAACATAAAAAATAACATAAAAAAAATTATATTTCATGAGGTAATCGATGTTTTTCATAAAATATGGCTATTATACCATCCAATCACTATTATGATAAGACAAATAACATGCTAGTAAAAAATTAACAGATGGCTCGTGACTAGATGCATTATGACATACTCCCTCCATATCAAAATACAACTACTTATGTCATTTTTCAAAAAGAGAAGGCACTTTTTCCCGAAAGAAGAAACTACTTTTGTTGTCACTCATAGTGAGAACATTCTAACTGGTGGTTAATTTTTCCCCACTGAAATGATTATTGATTCTTCAGTCACTAATTTATGCTTGAATTGTCAAAAAAGAGTTTGCTTTACACGTATGTATCGATCTAAATGGAAGGTGCCCTTGTCCTAAATGGATATATCCAGAACAAACCAGAAAATATAATAAGCACTGAGTGTAACCCTCCAAAGCTTGTATAGCAAACAATGATGCATTCATACAATGAAGCTTACCTGATGCCAAGTTGCAAGTTAAGCATTAGATAATAGCTCCTATGGCCCTTGTAAATAGTCTCCATTGGTCCTTTAGCTTGTTTCTCCCAGTTATTTTCTTGTGCTATACCGCTCTCCGACATTCTTGAATCTTCGTTTTTTGGTTGTTCCATGATAAGCACTCCTTGTACGTATTCCCGTTCATAAACCGAATCTTTATCAACTTCACTGTCTTGTAGACACTGATCATCAGCTGAAAATGATTTACTTGATACATCTTGGCATAGATGGCTTCCAGAATTATCATCGAAAACTGGTGTGGTACCATTTGAAATACGTCTGGGCCGATGAAGAAACCTACGCAACCTCCAATTCTTGCACAGTTTTTGCAATAGAAATAACAGTCCAATAGTGATCTTTTCATTACTAGAACTTGAAGCACTTGTACCATCATGACTTGTTAGACAGTCAGAAACTTCAAGGTTACAAGGAATTTTGCTTCCAGGTTGATAAAATGTACCATGGCCATCCTTTAGTCCTCTATCCCATGTACCAATGTAGCAAGCCCCAGATGCATATTTGCAGTAACCTTTGCCATGAGCCAGGCCATTGAGCCAATTACAGTCAAGAGTATCACCATTTATCCACTGCATTACCCCGCTGCCATTCATTTTGCCTGATTTCCATCTTCCAATGTATACGTTGCCATCAGCCCATGTGTATTTACCAAATTCATCAGGTAAACCTTCATTCCAGAAACCTTCATAAGTGTCGGAGTTAGAGTAAACCATTGTCCCCATACCATGCTTCTTGTTCATCCTCCAAGAACCTTTGTAAACTGAGCCATCAACTCCCTTGAAAGTGCCTGCTCCATCAATGAAACCTCCACGGAAGTCACCTTCATAGGATGCACCAGAAGGCCACTGAATTAGTCCTCTCCCGGTCATTTTACTCTTGTCCCACTCACCATCATAAAGAGCTCCATCTGTCCACATATACTTTCCCGGTCCATGAGGGACTAACCCATCGAAGCTCCCCACGTAGATGTCCCCATTTGGAAGGGTATTACCCCTAGCCAGAATAAAAAATATATATGAGATTCAAATTACATTGTGTGGTGCTTGCAAAACTAAATTGCCCAATCGTAAAGCAACGCAATTAGTGCTGGACAGCTGGAGAGTGGGGGCAGTGGATGATTGCAAACTTTGCGCTGATTTTAATGTGCTTTTCAATATGTGGGAAGAACACGATGAAGCACTTGTAATTCCTACCAAGAAAAAAAAATGAAGAATACGCAGAGATAGACACGAGAATTATCACACCTCTGGATGCTCCCCTTGCTTGTCTCTGCTCGGGCCATGTCAAGATTTTACCAGAATAGCTCAGAAGCCACAAGATGCATTCCAGAAGATCTGAAACAAGGCAGCAAAAACTATGATCCAGTATTCGAGCATAACCAATTCTGACCGAAAACAGGTTTAATCTCCCAGATACATCGAAATACATCGCAGACATAACAACTCTAATGCCTTCAGCAAAGCAGATTTCCGTTACCACGTACAACTGAAAGCAGTTGCAAACTTTGCAATCACACTAGCCCAGCTCAAAGTGACAAAAAGCAAATAGAGAAAACTAAATATCCTCTTGTACTGTTCAAGCAAACCGGATAAACGCTGCTCCCAGAAGAGCATCATCTCGAGCTCGCATCAACAAGACAGATCAAGCTACCCAGAACGACTCCTGGTTACAGCGCAAGCGGCCTTCCAGATCACCGCGCCAATCCAAGCAAGCAAGAACGTACCTCAGCTGCAGCAGTAGCACAACGAGGAAGGAGACCACGTGGAGCCCCGGCATCCGATCCGCCTCCGCCGCCCCCGAGCCGAGCTGAGCTAAGCTAAGCTAGCAAATGGGATCACGGCTCAAGCAGCAGCGAGGAGGGAGAAGAGGAGGGCAATCAATCGAGGAGGAGGAGGAGGAGGGGAAAGGGAAACAGTGCGAGGAGGAGGAGGAGGAGGAGGCGTCTGGGCCCCGGGGGGAGGCAAGCAAATGGGAATCGCCTCACCACCACGTTGCGGGTTCGCGGGGCCTTTGCTGGCGCCGACCAAATCCCCCCACATCCAGCTCCTTCCCCCCGCGCCCCCTCAGATATTTTTTTCTCTACTCTCTCCACTCCTTTCGGCGGCGGCGCTCGCGGAGAGAGAGAGAGCGACGCGAACAGAGGCAGAGCAGCCAGGTTGGCGCGCGGCGAGGGGGGGGGGGGGGGGGGGGCGTTCCTTCCGCTCGGTTTACCGCAGCGGTAGCAGGCGCAGGTGCGGTGCGCCGTGCGAGCCGCGGCGCGGGGCGCGGCGCACGTGGGCGGGGGGCCCTTGCGGTGGTGGTGGTGGTGGCGTCGGTTGCTTCGTGGGCATGGAGCGCGCGGTTTTACCGGCGGCGGATGGCGACGGGGGAATCTGATTCTCATCTCGGGGGCAGGTTGAGGTTGCGAAGCGGATCCGTTTAGAAGCGAGCGCGGTGAAAGATTTCCCGGTTAGTTTTGAGTTTACATTGGACATCCCAGGCTCCCAGAACCGTATTTTAGCTGGGTTTTAATTTGAGTTTTTTTGAACGACTTAATTTGAGTTTTTGAAGTTTACTCATGCATAGTACTATGGGTTAATTTTGGATAAAATTGGGGGTGGCTGGGTTGAGTGGGCCCGTGGCTCTACTTTTGGGGACAGTGCATTGGACTGCAGTTTTTTCTGGGCTATTGGCCTACTCCCTCCATAAAAAAAAAAAGGTAAATCTAGAACGGGAAGTGATATGTTATAGTATAAATTTAGACATATGTATATCTAAATTTGTTGTAATAAGATGTGTCACATAAGATACTAGGTTGATTTTTTATAGGACGGAGAGAATATTGTGGTGTCATGTTTTATGTGGTTAGTAGAACATGAAAGCCACATATCGAGATCCAGTGCAGTTTTAGGGCCCTTTGAATTAGAGGAAAAACATAGGAATTTTAGAAGATTTTAATCGTATAGGAAAATTTCCTATGAAGGCCTTTGAAATAAATGATTGAATCCTATCAAATCCTTTGAAATTCCTATAGAATAGATAATCCTATAAAGATTTTAGAGGAAATTTAGCAAGAGCTTCAACCTCTTGGTAACTTTTCTTTCAGTCTATCTCTCTCATCTAATTCCTATGTTTTTCCTGCGGTTCAGTCAACTAGTCATTCCTGTGTTTTCTGTGTTTTGTGATCATCTGTTTTACACTTACATTTCTATTAAAATCCTACATTTTATCTATTCCTATATTTTTTTTCAATCATGCGATTCAAAGGGTCCCTTAACTAGAAATGCACACAATCTCATCCATCCAAATTTTCAATTGAAGACCTAGATTAAATGATACTGCAGCATTACTATAACAGTTCTATAGTGAATGCCCTGGATAAACTGTGTCATATTGAATTTGGACCTGATTTGTATCCAACAGCTCTAGTGCGACTACTTAAGTTATAGTCACACTAAAAACTGCTTAGGAACTGGATCCGAAAGCCACGGTCTACTATGGTGAAAACAACAGTAGTAATAATCTTTTTAGAAAGAACACAAACTACACACTACAAAGTTCCCCTGAGAATGAAACATGCAGCACACTTTGAGAACATAATTAAACGAGGGTTAATTGGATCCATGCCATCGTAATATCTTCGACTTTGAAAATAATCGTTATTATTCGCTTATTAAGAGATATGATATTACAATTTAATTAAAGTTTGAGATATGCCACGACGTATCTCTTCAATGCAATTATAAAATAACCTGGACCAAATCATCCCTCGTAGAAATCCTTCACCTTCACCCCCTCTTCCTTCTTCCTCTCTCTTATTTTATCTGGGATCTAGATGAAGTCACACCACCGGCGATGGAGCTAGCGGCGGAGTGAGTCCTCGGTGGCCGGTAGGAACCAGAGTTTCTTGTGTCGCTTGTGTTGTGGCACCATGAATGATGAGAGTTGAGAACAAAGGGAGTGTCCAACCGGTGGGTTGGATAGGATCACTAGATCAAATGGTGGGAGAGATGACAGAGATTAGTGAGAGGGAGAAGGAAGAAGGGGTGAAGGAAGGAGGAAGAGTAATCTAATCTAAAATGTTTTATAATTGTATTGAAGGGGTATGTAGTGGTATATTTTAAATTTTGATCAATTATAACGGCATGTCTCAAAATAAATGAATAGTAATGTTATCTTTCAACATCGAAAAAGTTACAATGCATGGATCCATTTAACTCAGGAAACAAAAACATGATCTATTACTACAGAAACTCTTTGAAAAAAAAAAGAGAAGACAACGAAGATAAGTGATGCGGGTGATAATCGTTCTGCTGCGAGAGTAATATGTATGTGACGCGACTAGTACCGGCATCCAATCAAATGCGTTGTTTTTTTTTTTCAAAAGAGAACAAGGTGATACGGGTGAAGATCCCTGTACCACGAGAGTTATGCATAAGAAAAATCAGCAACATGACAGGCACTGATATCCAATCAAATGTGCTTAGCATTTTCTATCAAGTGTGGTAGCATACCTGATCTTTTTGGCAATTAACAAGAAGCCTCTTGTTCTTTGGCAACTTTAGTGTACATCAAGGACCACTGGTGAAGAAACCATTTTTCCTCCCGGTTCGTAACCCTCATTTAGTCCCGGTTATTCAACCGGGACTATAAATTTGGGACTAAAGATTGCTATCTTCAGTCCCGAGTGAAATAACCGGGACTAAAGATCGATCTTTAGTCCCGGTTGTTAACACCAACCGGGACTAAAGATAGGGGAACAACCGGGACTAAAGATGAGATAACAGCAGTCTAGATGCCCCCTCCTTTTTTTTTCTTTTTCTTCTTTTTTATTTTCTCCCAAATCAAGTGAGATGCGTATTCCAAATTAAACCCCAAATACCAAATCAAGGTAACATCCCAAATCTATATCACAAATCTTTAAAGTTACTTATACACACAAATCAAATATATCACAAATCCTAAAATAAAATTGCACACAAATCAAATTACATCACAAGTTCTACAAAATTCATCGCAAATACATCACACACAAATCAATACATTACAGGATCATGCAATAAATCACAAATTCTAAAAAAAAATTCACAGAGACGCCAGCCGGCCGTTGCCGCCTCCTCTCCACGCCGGCCGGCCACCGCCATGCCGCCGCTCGCTGCCACGCCGCTGGCCACCGCCGCGCCGCCCGCCGCGCAGGCCGCCGCTCGCTGCCGCGCCGCACGCCGCCTCCTCGCCTCCACGCCGCTGCGCCTCCGTGCCGCCGCGCAGCCCGCCGCCTCCGCGCCTCCGCGCCGCCGCGCCGACCCGCTCTCGCTCTCGCTCGATCTGGATAGAGATAAGGCAGCGCTCTCGCTCGATCTATCCAAAAAGAATGAGATAAGGCAGGAAAGAGGAAGAGAGTTAGAGAGGAAAAAAAGAGATAGAGAGAGTTTGTTGTGTGGACGATATAAGAAGATAAGTAATAGGGATTATATAGTACGTGTTAGATTTTTATTTCCGGTTAGTAACAACAACCGGGACTAAAGTTAGATCTTTAGTCCCGGTTGGTTCCCTAAAGAACTAAAGATGATCTTTAGTCCCGGTTGGTAACACCAACCGGGAATAAAGATCATCTAGTATTGTTGTTCTTATAAACCGGGACTAAAAATCGTTTTTACTCCCGGTTTTTAATGGAACCAGGACTACTATGGATTTGGGTCAACCGAGCAAAGATGGTTTCTCCACCAATGGACAAATAGCGCCTCAAATCACTGGACAAGTAGATCCAACTTAAATCACCAAAGAGACATAGTTACATTATGTGGTACTTCCTCCGTTTCACAATATAAGTCACTCTAACATTTTTTACATTCATATTAATGTTAATGGATATATATAAATATATATGTCTAGATTCACTAACATCAATATGAATGTGGGAAATGCTAGAATGACTTACATTATAAAACGGAGGGAGTACTTTAGAAAACTTCATTGTTCACACGAAAATAAGAAATGGCCAGATTAACAAAAAGGATATGATGGATTATAATGTGTGTTGATAAACTAATTGGGATTGTCTAACTATTCATTGACTTTTTTTTTGACAAAAATCAAACAGATTTTTTTCAGCCCTTTGATCTAGATCCAATGAAAAGAAAAACATACCAATAGGAATTATTTCGACTGCACCAAAACCAAAAACAATAAAACAACAACATGGGCCACAAAACTAGCCCAAAAATCAAGATGAACATATCATATCAATCACAAAACTCAGTAATTCAACTCAAAATCTATACATCAAGAACTGAGCAGCCCCATGTACAAAAAATGTTATTATTGCAAAATTTAACATAATCAATTGTAATCCTCCGTCCGTCCCATAATATAAGGGATTTAGCAAAAAAATCAAAATCTCCTATATTATGGGATGGAGGGAGTATGAAATTAGCCATTGTGATTTGATGAGTGGGATTTGGCTAGCTTGTTGGAGTGTGTTTTTTATTTGTAATATAAAAAATTTAGCTAGTGAATTAGTCATTGAGATTTGGCTAAACCGTTAGCGTGGTCAGAAATATGAAGGGAAATTTTTTTTTTGCCTAGACTATACATAGATGCTCGGTTGGTGTGAGGAGCTGTGAGTGAGGTTGGAAGCATTACCATGCTACTTTTGGCATGTTCTTTTCTGCAACGAAAGTTGAATAAACTTTTGGATACTTGAGAAACGCTTTTCAAACTGTTAAACGGTGTGTTTTGTGTGAAAACTTTCTATGTAAAAGTTGTTCTAAAATATAAGATTAATCTATTTTTCAAGTCTGTAATAATTAAAACTCAATTAATCACACGTTATTACCTCCTAGTTTTACCTGAAACACTTAGTCTTTATCTTCATCTTCATGAAAGGTAATTAAGATGATGATTTTACCTTAGTTTTCGTTAACACTTATTTTCAAGTGCTAAACGGTACGTCTTTTAAGAACTTTTATATAGAAGTTATTTTAAAATATAAAATAAATATATTTTTTAAACTTTATAATAACTAAAAAATCTTATTATTGTTATACGGTTTAGATAGGGTAAAATTTACTGTGAGAATTCGCTTGGATGTTTCTTTTTAGAAAATCATGAGCTGCAATTAGGAGTCTGATTTTCATCTCAAGTTAGCACGTGAGTTTTTTTAAAGAGATTTCATATACGTCATACGTCTCCTTTTGTATTTCCAAAAACAAACAAGTTTAAAATCCAACTTAAACACGTATATGTATTTTCAAAAACGAACGAACTTAAAAACAGATTCAAACACGGATGACATATTAAAATACCGATAAAAACATATTTAATTTTTATAACAGTAGAGATTAAAACTCAATTAATTATACGTTAATGGCTTTCTCGTTTTGTATACGCTGATTTTTTTTTCGTTTCATATATCTCAAACACTGTCTCTGCTACTCAACCAACAAAAATGCTACAGTGAGCACGAAGGTAAAAACGGCAACGTTGCCCCTTAGCCGGAAACACCCGTCTTACTGGCGAACCGCCGGCAACGGCGACAGCGCACCTCGCTCCTACACCCTCTCCGCTGCTCGCACCGCACACCACCACCCATCACGACCAGTCGACCACCTCCCCCCGCCGATGCCATACCGCTCAGCCGGCCGTGAGGTGTGTGGGCCGTGTGGCCCCCGTGGGCCACACCGAACGCAGGCAGTCAAAAGCAAAGCGCTAGCTGTAGCGTGGAGACAAACGCGAGGGGGAGAGAAAAGAAAGACCAGGGGGGACGCACCCGGCACCCGCACCGGCAGCAGCAGCAAGCAAAGCCACGCTAGTTGTAGTATACTAGGCTACTATAGCAAGCACCCGCCGTGCGGTTGGATTTTTTTTTCTCCTCCTCCGCTTTTGCCTTTTCCGGGTGGTGGACTGGTGGTGGCGGACTTGACGGCTCCCCACTGGCTGCCTCCCTGCCGTGCCGCCTGCCTCTGCGCATCTGGCTGGCTATCTTACCTCCCTTTTCTGCGCCGCGTCCTCCTCTCTCTCCTTTCCCCTAGGGCTCTAGCTCCACCGCCTCTCGGCCACCGCCGCTCCCCGCCGCCGCCGCCGACGACGCGCGAGGTACGCTACGGATGCTCGTGCTTCTCTTCTTTCGTTTGCTGGACTATTCAGATCTGGGATTTAGGTTTCCCGTCTTCTCCGAGTTTGTTGGACCGATCGGGAGGCTAGAGCGGTGGTCGAGATGGGGGGAGGGGTTTCCAGGGGAGGCGTCGATTGATCGTGTCCGGGAGAGGAGCAGCTTGATCTGGTTGCTTGTTGTGGTATCTTAGCCTCGGAGGAGAGCGCTGTGCTACTGTGTGTTAATGGAATGGGGTGGGGGGGGGGGGGGGCGTGGGGGGAGTGATTTCGGATGTGTGCTATGCTGCTGTGGGATGAGAGGGTTGCAACCTTGGCTTTAGATGGTGGGAATGGGGGTTGAGGGTGGATTGGAAATGGGAATCGGAGTGATGATCGCTTCATCTTAGCTGATCTGCAGGGTCTAGTAGTATGCCAAATGTGTTCATCGTCATGCGGCTACAGTTTCCTAATTATTAGATGCTTTCTGTTTCTTTTAAAACGAGCTGCAGCATGAACTTTCAGTGATATGTTTGATTGGGTCGGACAGGACAGCTCATATGTATGTTTGTACTTCTGTAGGGAGTGTGGTGAGGACTGATGAACTTCTAAACATTGGGTATGGATGGATGTGACTGCATCGAGCCACTATGGCCAACTGATGAGCTCCTCATCAAGTATCAGTACATCTCGGACTTCTTCATAGCCCTCGCATATTTCTCGATCCCGTTGGAACTAATTTATTTCGTGAAGAAGTCATCCTTCTTCCCATACAGATGGGTTTTGATCCAGTTTGGTGCATTTATAGTCCTATGTGGAGCGACTCATCTCATAAACCTGTGGACTTTCACCACACACACAAAGACTGTTGCTATGGTCATGACAGTCGCAAAGGTTTCAACGGCTGTTGTGTCCTGTGCGACAGCTTTGATGCTTGTACATATTATCCCTGACTTGCTGAGCGTGAAAACAAGGGAATTGTTTCTGAAGAATAAAGCTGAACAGCTTGATAGGGAGATGGGCTTGATTAGGACACAGGAAGAGACTGGGAGGCATGTTAGGATGCTTACCCATGAAATCAGAAGCACTCTTGATAGACATACGATTTTGAAGACTACACTTGTTGAGCTAGGAGGGACCTTGGGCCTGGAAGAATGTGCCCTATGGATGCCATCAAGAAGCGGTTCAAGTCTTCAGCTTTCTCATACTCTCCGCCACCAGATTACTGTTGGGTCAACTGTATCAATTAATCTTCCTGTTGTCAATCAAGTGTTCAGTAGCAACAGAGCAATTATAATACCCCACACATCTCCTTTGGCACGGATCCGACCTCTTGCAGGGAGATATGTTCCACCAGAAGTGGCTGCAGTGCGAGTTCCTCTTCTACATCTTTCAAACTTTCAAATAAATGATTGGCCAGAGCTTTCAGCAAAGAGCTATGCAATCATGGTTCTGATGCTTCCATCTGATAGCGCAAGAAAATGGCATGTGCATGAGTTGGAGCTTGTTGAGGTCGTGGCTGATCAGGTTAGTGCTGTTTCTTTTGCTATGGTTACTTATAACATGGGTATTTATAGGAGAGAGAGCGTGATATTTAATATGTTTCAAAAGCTGTGTGCTCATGATCTTTCAATCGATAGACAACAGTCACCAATTAACCTAAAACAACACATATTCACAACTATGATCTGTTGATCAATGATTCATGGAAAATTTCAAATATCATTATATTATTCCAAGAGTTTCCCTTTTTTTTTTTGAAAACAAAGGATACTGAGAAGCAGCAAGCAAGCTAAAAGTGCCCTCTTTACTTTTTTATCACCTTAGTTATATTCATAAATATGAATGAGGCAGTGTTGTAAGCAAGTTTTTTTAATCATCTTTCTCTTTTATTTCAGGTTGCAGTTGCACTTTCTCATGCAGCTATTCTTGAAGAGTCCATGCGTGCGCGTGATCTGCTAATGGAGCAAAATGTTGCTCTGGATTTAGCTCGACGTGAGGCTGAAATGGCTATCCGTGCTCGTAATGATTTCCTGGCTGTTATGAATCATGAAATGAGAACACCAATGAATGCAATAATAGCCCTTTCGTCCTTACTTTTGGAAACCGAACTTACTCCTGAGCAGCGCTTGATGGTGGAAACAGTCTTGAAAAGCAGCAATCTTTTAGCAACACTCATCAATGATGTGTTAGATCTTTCCAAACTTGAGGATGGTAGCCTTGAATTGGAGATTAAAGCATTCAATCTTCATGCTGTTTTCAAGGAGGTCTGAACTCTGAAACTTCATCATTTATGGTTGTTTAATGACTAAATATGCAAATTGCACTTGCCTGAAATTTTACTTCGTCTTACTCTTACAGGTAATGAGTTTCATCAAGCCAATCGCAGCCATCAAGAGACTGTCTGTGTCAGTTATGTTGGCACCAGACTTGCCATTATGTGCCATCGGTGATGAAAAGAGGCTAATGCAAACTATTTTGAATATCTCTGGCAATGCTGTTAAGTTTACAAAGGAGGGCCACATCACACTTGTAGCTTCTGTTGTGAAGGCTGACTCTTTAAGAGAATTCAGAACCCCAGATTTTCACCCAACTGCAAGCGATGACAATTTTTATTTGAAAGTTCAGGTAAAGATTCTAATTGTTTGAATGGCTTTCCTTGGCTAAGGAGCATGCAGCATGCTACCAGAGTATCAATAGGAAGCACTTTGATGTATCATGCATATTCACAATCATATGGGAAAATGTTTGATCTACAATTGCACGGAAGTATGACACTATGCACCTCTGGCCACCACTGGTCGGTGACAACTGTTGGCATGCACTGCATCGTGAAGATTGGATGGATTGTTCAGTTACATCATCCCTAAGCTATTCATATGCCTTGTAGTTTCACATTTGTCTGGGTCCACTGCATGCTTATCCAATTCCTCACAATGTTATCTGTTGGCTGTAGTCATTTTGTTGCATCTTGCTTTAGTTGCCTTAGTGGAGCCTACCCTGAAGGTAGACCTAAAAGAGCAATTTTACTTTAAATGGGAACATAACACACATGAGATTTGGTACCAGACCACATCTTGTTAACTTCGCAAATGCCAAATTAAGATATCATTATATGTAGTTGGACAAACTCTACTTTAAAATACTAAAATGTCTGGTTTAACCGATCCCAGATTTCTTGGGAGTAGAAGTGGAAGATAGTTTTATACTTTCAGATCTTGGCATGACACAGACACATGCAGTTTTCTGCATTACTGGTTGATAAAGAAAAACTAGAGTTGTGTACAGTCAGGTAACTGTTTGCCAGTTTTTTTTTTTTACTGTTTTATGACATCTGTTATTTCTTCTGTTGCAGATTAAAGATACGGGCTGTGGCATTAGCCCTCAGGATCTACCTCAAGTATTTACAAAGTTTGCTCAATCTCAGCCTGGAGGAAACAGAGGATACAGTGGTAGTGGTCTTGGCCTTGCCATTTGCAAGAGGTAGTTTACTATACATCACCACCTTCTTACCTATCAGCTCCTTTTTCTGCAACCCAATTTGTGCTGAGGCTGCTATATACTCACTCCCTCACTGTAAACTCGGCGACTTAACTGAAAATGTGAAAAATCCTATCTCAGGTTTGTTACTTTGATGGGAGGGCACATCTGGTTGGATAGCGAAGGAACAGGAAGAGGCTGCACAGTAACGTTTGTCATCCAGCTTGGCATATGCGATAATACGAATGCATATCAGCAGAAGCTGATTCCTCTAGTCTGGCCAAGCAGTGGGGATGCTGATTTTGTTGGTCCGGTGCCAAATGCTCCTAATGAAGAGAAAGGTCAGGCTTCTCTGAAATCTCGGTATCAGAGAAGTATATGAGCTACTGTAAATTGATCGACGGCATTGTATCAAGTAGGGCCTGGTTAGTTTGTCTCTAATTTTGTGCCTAGCCTTGTGATAGCTGGAATATATTTGTACAAATAATGTACAGCAGATGGGACTGCATAATGCAGCTATGCACCTGGGTACAACTCTAACTTGCGTAGTGTCCTGTCAGCGAAATGTGTATTCTGGGCTGTTCGTGTGACCTTCTGATAGCTCATTGCTTGTTCTGTCATATTATTCGGCAACATATCATATGCACACAAGCCCTCATGTGTACACACGTGCACACCAACTTAAAAAATGTCACCAAAAAATCTAGAAAAAAAATTATACGCATACACCAACTTAAAAAATGTCACCAAAAAATCTAGAAAAAAAATTATACGCATACTTTTAATTGTATTACACCTAGGGTTAAAATCTTAACGTCAAATTCATTATATTTTAACCGTAACAAAAAAAAATCTGACAGTTTTAAGGTTGCAATTTTGTCAGAATTTTATCTTTTTTGTTATTTTCTATGTAGAATGAATTTGAAGATGCGACTTTGCACGTAGATGTAATACTATTGAAAGTATATGTATGAATTTTTCTAGAATTTTTTGTGATAATTTTTAGTTGGTGTACACGGTGTGTACACGCGAGGGCCTGTGTGCATAGGATACGCTCCCATATTATTCGCTGTTGAAGGTAAATCATTTCTCATTTTTTTAAGGACAAAATCCTTATTTCCCTCTAAAAGCTACCCCATCCCTTATTGCCCTATGTTCTCCCAACAACATGCTCATGTTTTCTTTAATCTCTTCACAGGTTAGCAAAGCTTGATCTAGTGGTATTAAGAATCCTGTGTCTATGATATTACTTTGGAGTGCATTGGTGTATCACCGATATGACGTGATCGCAATTAATCCAAGCAAGCAAAATTTTCTTCAAAAGCGACAAGCAAAGCTTGTTAGAGAAAACAAACAAACAATGTTAGCTTGATTTTTTTTTTTTTTTTTTGCAAAACGCAGACACAGGTGCCCACAAATACTTAGCTTGATATTTTGGTTGTATTCCGAACACTGAAAGTGGAGTTCATCATTCAAAATTTGCCCTACCACAAAATACTTATTGATCACTAATTTTGCTTCATAATGCCGGCAAGAAAAAAAAAAGAGACTAAACAATATACTACTTCTAGGCATAAATATTTGATGTTTTGGATAAACTTAAATCAAACTTTTAAAATTTTGACTATCAATAACATCTCAAATGCTCAGTTTATAAAACAGAAAAAAAATCACCTTGAAATGAAATATCCTAATATTGTAAAGCTATTAGATTTAACTTATTTTAATTTGAAATTTATGGTTAAAGTTTTAAAATTTTTATCAAATGTTATCCTAATATAAATCATTTATGATTAAGGGAGTAGTAAGTAAAGCTATTTTCTCATGTCCAAATTTTTCCTCTAATTTTTTCATGTAATTTTTGGACTTTGTTTAACAGCTATCCGTGTCGTGAACTTAGCGTAGCTCATCTAGAAAGGGTCCTTGTGATGGAGTATGTCCACTCAATTTCAAGTTCCAAACTTAATACATGTGCTTGCGTCTACAACTAACTATTCTTTTGATTCTAGACGATGTATCTGTTAAGGTGTTCATAGTAGTAGGTTGAATGTGAGTGTGTGAAATGTCATATAATCTGGTTACAGTGACTTGAGTAGCATCCCAAGGCTCTAAGTTCAAATACCCGGGTTATTTGAGGGTTTAAAAATCCAGTTGGATATAGAGGCTGGGCTAAGTTCTCTGCTTGATATGCTAAGTTCCTAATTTAAAAATACTACATATATTCGGTTGGATGTACATGTAAAAAAGTACCCGGGTTATTTGAGGATTTAAAAAGGAAGTATATATCCAGTTGGATGTAGAGGCCGAGTTAAGTTCATAATTTAAAATATTCGGGTTATTTGAGGGCTAAGTTTCTTATTTAATAGGCTAAGTTCTTAATTTAAAAATGCTACATATATTTGGTTGGTTGTAGAGGCCGGGTAACAAAACCTTTTCTAAAATAAATGTGAGTGTATGCTTATGTATGGTGTTCCGCAGAAAATTAACTAATAAAAAATTTACACGTGTCATTTACCCTCCATATCCAGTACTGTAAGTTAGAAGAAAAAGGCCAAAATTTTCATTCGCTATTTTGTGCACAACATTTTGGATGTTAACGGACCTACGGAGTACGGAAGCAAAAGTGGCGACAGTGTTTTCTTTTTCCTACAATTTTCACGTTCAGTGCGTTTCCACTTTCTACATAGAGAAATTTTTACTATGATGGTCCCTGTGACATTTGGGTGCGTTAGTTCTAGGAGATTAGGTGAGAAAGGGACATTGTTTTTCACGCACACGCTTCCCAAACTATTAAACGGTACGTTTTTATAAAAAAAATTTTATAATAAAAATATTTTAAAAAATAGTTTAAAATAGTTAATACTCAATTAATCATACGCTAATAACTTACCTCGTTTTACGTATCTTCCTAATCTTTTCTATTTCCTTCTCCTTAGACACAGCTTGGCGCCACGTGAACGTGACCGAATCCCGTTATTAATTAGTACTACTACTCCGTAACCCTTTCTTTTCTCTCTCTTTTCTTCTGTGGTGAGCAGAGCACAGCACGGGTTGTCCCCGGTTTACCACAATCCTTTCGTGCTCCGCTCAGGTTGCGTGTTTGGCCCTAGGGTTTACTTCGCCGTCCTCCTCTCGTCCCTCTCCTCCCGCGGTCCCGTCGTCGGCGAGGCCAGGGGATCGAGCGGCCGGCGGCCGATCGAGGCGGCGGCGGCGATGGCGCACAAGATCCCCCTGGAGGTGGCGCACACGCTCGTGGAGATCGCGGAGGTGGCTCGCTACGCCATCGAGCACCGCCGCGGCCACGGCCCGGCCCACGACGGCGTCTCCCCCCCGGCGGTGGACGGGGAGGAGGCCGAGCGGCTGCGGGCGGAGAACGTTATCCTCCGCGCTCGCCTCGCCGACGACCTCTCCATCCTCCGCGAGCTCCAAGGCGAGCCCTGTGTTTCCCAGGAGTGCCCTGCCGATGTGAGCCTCTTGCAACTCCCTGTTGCTCTCTTATGTTTTCAGATTAGGAGTATTAACCTTAATCCTCTGAGAATTGACATGATCATAGATGATGTTTTGTTAGATACTATAAAAACACGAGCATCCGAAATTTGGCAGGAATTGCGGTGTATGAATTTATCAGGTCACCGTTTTTTTAACAACAATCATTCGAATCCATGCCATTTGAGGGGGTGTAACAGGACATATTAAGTTTAATTCGTGATGCAATGATGCTGAGTTGCTGACTGATAATATGCATGGACCAAAACACTTATGACTTAGAAATTCAGTTGTGTGATTACATGCCCTTATCCAGCTTTTATTTCTATCACTGTTCAATTTGTTTTACCTTTTAATGTCTGACCGATTTTGCTTTTCATGGATGTGATTTCATGATGCAGCTGCATAATCGTCTTGTAGCAGCAGTTAACAATGCTAGCTTCTTGGCTCAGCTTGAGAAAATTCGAGATGAGTCAAGGCATCAACAAACAGAGCTATCTCCTGATAACATGACAGGTACATCTGTGTGAAACACTGCGATTTTATTTGTGAACCATACTTTTATGACTATTTGTTTCCTGCGTTACATTGTGCCAACAACAATGTAAATAACCTTTTGTTTGATTGATGAATCAAAACCAGAACTGGATATTGCAGATATTCCATACACTGAAGGTGGCGGGAAGAATGGATCTTGGGTCTTGGTTGCCTGTGATAAACCCGGGGCAAATATGGAGGAAATCAGTGGAATTGATAATGAAAATTATGTACTTGTTAATGATGATGACATTATTGATGGTATGACCTCCTTTATTGCTAGGTGCATTCTTGAAGATCCAAAGTCCAAGGTATCTTGTTTTCAACAATTGATGAATACTCTCTATACTACCTCAATGATCTAACTATTTGTTGTTCTGTATTCTTCAGTCAATATCACCAGTGGAGCTGCAAAAGGGTATACTAACTTCTTATCTCCATGCTGTTACTTTAAATTTGATAAAGATGAAGTTTATTTGCATCTAAACTCTGTTACTTAGGTAACTGGTTCAAAACAATGAGTCAGTGTGTGTGTGACCAAGAAAGAACTTGAACTTCAATATGCTGTTTGAAATAGTGTTGTGATTTACTAATTTCCAACATTGTGGATCTAAACAACAGTGCTATATTATGGTGTGGATATGGTTATCACAACAAGTTTTTGTATGCATTGTTCTAGTCGAGTACTTGGTGAACTCAATGTTGGAGCATGTTATGGGAGACTGACCCCTTTAACACATCCAATCACAAATGAAATTAATTGGACCAGTAATTCATTGCACTGAGACAATAAACAAGATTTCTTGATCACATGACTAAGTTTCTTTGACAAAATATTCTGTCTTTGAGAGTCTTAGTCTGCTTTACGTGCTGTTCAATTCTGTGTAGCATGTTCTAACTTTTAACATCTGTGCAGCTGTTGCAATGGCATTGAGCACCCTTAATGATAAGTGGAAATGGATGAGTATTTGGGAGGCTGGAAAAGTGCTTTACATATTGGCAACATGGGGAATCACAATAGTGGGGTAAAGTTGTCTCCATACTAAATTTGTGTCGCTTTTGCAAGTAAACGTCTTGTTACAATCTGCTTTTTGGTTTATTTCTGTTTTCAATGCTGAGGTTCCTATCCATTTCATAATGCAAACCTGACTTTCATTATCTTAATTTGTTTTGTTATATTGCTGATTTTCTTCAGGGGATCTATTTTTAGTAGGATTTAGCTAAATGACATTGAAGATGCAACAGTACCGTCCATACGGAGATATCTCCTTTCTTTCTTTGACTGTTGCCTTTTATTTTGTGCAGGTTGTATAGGAGTCGCCACGTGCTGAAAATTGCAGCCAAGGGAGCTGTCGTGTCTGCCAAATTCGTCATGAAGGCACTGTGAAGTGTGAAAGCAGTGAAATTATGCATGCGCGATGATCAGCAATTTGTACATACAAAAACTATCCTTGTCAATTGTACATATGTGAAATTGTGAATTATGGTTTGTTCTGAACTGTTTGTTCAGAAGCGTCATAACTCATAAATTATGAAATGTGAAATGGTGGAAGAATTCGTTTATTGAGTCTGTATAATGATACATCTGCTTGACAAGTTGACATATTCTCTCTTTCCATCTCAAGCCGATTTCTTTTCAACTTATATCGCTCCTGTTCTCATTTTACTATTTCAAATATCTTTATTTGAAAGATACAAAGGAATCATTTGAAAGAAACAAGGGAATCATCGGAATTCGAACAAAAAGGTTTGTGGAGTAAATTCACTCGGTGTAGCGGGGTTTTACGAGTTTTAGAACAACAAATATGATGAAAAGCAGTAACTGGGTTTCAGGTAAATTTCCTCCTGTCAGATGGGCTGGTTAAATTCAGCGTCAGACGACGCCTGGAACGAGCCCAATCCAAGGCCCACAACTCCACAACTCCACAAGCTTCCTGTCCAGTCTCCACTCGCAAACCCTTCTCGCCGCCATTCCTTCCCTTCCCCAAAGCCACCGCAATCTTTCTCCTCCTCGTCGGCGGCGGCTGCGAATTCCGACTTCATATTCTCCGAGACTCCGATGGCCACCAAATCACAGAAGAAGAAGAGGCCTTCCGGGCCTAATCCTTCTATCAAATCCAAGGCCTCGTCCTCCGACCAAAAACCTAAGCCTTCGAAACCCACGGAGGAGGAGAGGGAGGAGAAAGCGGCGGCGGCGGTGGCGGCGGAGAAGCCGAAGAAGAAGAAGGCGACCAACGAGATCGACAAGATCTTCCAGGCCACCAAGTCATCCGGCAAGAAGCGCAAGCAGCAGCAGCAGCAGGGGGAGGAGGAATCTGTGCGAGCCAAGAAGCCCAAGGAGAGGTCCGAGGGGGCCAAGAAGAGCAATAAGGCTAAGAAGGGTAGCAAGGGCAGGGACACGGACGACGACGACGAAGTCGAGGAGAAGCGGCCGCGGCGGCGCACGGCGGACGGGCTGGCGATATACTCCGCCGACGAGCTCGGGTTCGGCAAGTCCGACGCCGGCGGCACCCCGCTCTGCCCCTTCGACTGCGACTGCTGCTTCTGAGCTTTTTCCCGGGGGTTTTCCTGTGCTCGAGGTGATGTTCTTATGTCAAATCCTTTGTATGTTTGTAATGCTTGATGGATTCTGTTGGGAACATGCGCTTAGATTTGTGCTCTAATGGAATGAAATTTTGGTTCGTGTTATTGATGATACTGGATGATAACTTGGGGGGACCTATCTACCTCTGTTTTACATCACTTCTTTGTGGTGCTAATGCCATGTCAAATCTCTATGAATAGAGGATGGTGTATTCTTACAGCAAAGAAAGATGGATACTAGTTCACAGGATCTTGAGAAATTGAGATGATATATGAATATGATCATAGGGGAAAAGGTAATGTGTATTGTGTAGCGTTATAAGATAATGCCTAGAAACTTTGCTGGTATTGCCACTGTTCTGAAACTGAAGCTCAAAGCTTATTGTTGGCCGGAACATCAAGAATGTGCATCAACATTATTCAGTTGAATTAGGCTGATTGTTTCCTGATATTTACGCATATTGAGCCCTGTATGGATTTTAATTCTTCTAGTGTATCAGTGTTCAGTTCTAGGCAATGAGCCCATGAGTGTACCACAGTTGATTTCTGAATTATGATATGGTAGTTTATCTGAATAAGAGTACCCTCTTGTATGTTCTCTGATATTGTTATGGGTGGCAGGCAGAACCTCATTCTTTGCCTCAGAGTAGCAAATGGGGCTCTGTCTGGGTGCCTGGAGGCCCTGGAGAACTCTTATTCAGATAAAGATGAGGTTTGGTTGTACTGTTGTAGAAATACTTTGCCATGAGCCTCCACTCATATTTGGCCATGCGCTAACAAGCTCCCTGCAAACCTTGAGCTCTAACCATCCCCTCCCTCTAAGCATCCACCCCAGCACCTCATCAGCCTCACCGCTGCCTGAAACCTTCTTGGCGCCGTCGAGCTCATCCCTAGCCACCACAAGGCCTCGAGCGTTTTCACATGAAGTCACTACCGTTAAAGCTTGTCGTCGGTCGCTGCCCACAAGCTCTCACCTCGTTTATCACCGTCCATGAGTCGTTCAAGGGAAGAAGAGGATGAGAAGGATAAAAAAGAGGAGGGAAAAAGTCCAAATACCCCCCCCCTCCCCTGCCCCGAACTTTGAAACCGGATATTCAACCTTCCCTAAACTTTACAGTACCATTTATATAACCCCTAAGGTGGTTTGCATAGTTGTTTTTATCTAATTTATATATATATTGGATGCGTTTGATCACGTGACATACACATTGGACATATATATTAAAATCTCCACCTGAATCTTTCTTTTCACCCCTTGTTAGCTCTCACTTACAAACAACTACCAATATATTAATAGTATGATATCAATGTATAAGTATAAATTGATGACTTACAACCGACGATATGCAAATATGTTATATTAGTTATTCAAAGTTATTCGTTTAAGCTTTCAAAATATACAAAACCACAATCTAAAACCATCTTAGGGCTAATATGAATGGTATCGCAAAGTTTATGGGGTTGAATGTCCGATGTTAAAGTTCAGGGTGCTAGATAGACTTTCATCTCAAGTTTTTATTTATTTATTTGTGGTGGGGGGGGGGGGGGTTAGTGCCCATGTGATGGGCCATATCAAATTTACGACTGGCAATAATACATTCTGCAAGTTTATGGATTTAAATATGTATGGCATGTTTGGTAGAGCTCCATCTCCTAAATTTATCTTAGGAGTTGGGTTTAAAGTGTAGTTGTAGAGTAGCCTAAACCCACCTCTATCTCTTTACTTTAGTTTATTTTGTGAAAGCACTTCGCCCAGCTCCGTTCCCATTTTAGATGAAGTTAAAACTGTTTGGCTGAGCTCCAACTCTAGAAGAGGTGCAGTTTGAGCTAGAGTTGTGCCAAACAAGCATGTAGTTTCAAGTTTTTAGTTTAGGTTCGCCCTTGCATTTTAAATTGCAACGATTGCTCAGATTGGGAACTCCGCGAGGAGCCCAAGATCTGGCTAAAGGCTGAGCCGGAATTGGGAGTACTGAAAAATTGGGAGCTGGTTTAGGCATACGTTGGCGACATGGTTTTAGACCAAATTCCTAAAATTTATCCTTTGGGATTGGTATTAGCATATTAGAAAGCTATTGGAGATGCTCTTACTTGGTCACTCCCTTTTTGTTATCTGATTTAGACGTACATACTCACGTTTAGGCATCGAAACATTAGGGCATATTTGGTACAGCTCCAACTCCTAAATATAACTCCAGGAGTTGAGTCTGGAGTGAAGTTGTGGAGCTGCCTAGACACAGCTCTACAACTCTAGTACATTTTGTGAGAGAGCTCCACCCAACTCCACTTCCAATTTTGGTGGAGCTGAAATTGTTTGGCTGAGCTCCAGCTCCAGGAGAGGTGGAGCTGGAGCTGTAGCTGTGCCAAACAGGCCCTTAGAAGGGCTGATGTTGCCCCAGCCTGGCAGCATCGACTACCCAAGCCCACTCCCACTGTCGCACAAAGCGCCCCACCCATACCCAAGCTTCCCGCTAATGTAGGCTCGACGTGTCACTCAAACCACCACACAGTGCGCTCCACAGGCCGGCGAGGTCGGGGAGGTGGGTGCACAGTGCCCTGCGAGATGGCGGCGACCGCGCTGCTGCGGCGCGCCCGGTGGGCGCTGGTCGACCACCCCGCCGTCGCCTCCTTCCGGTGGGAGCCCGGCCGCACGCCCGCCTCGACCCCGTCCTTCGCCGCCGCCGTCATCTGCGCCTACCTCGCCACGGTGTTCCTCCTCCACCGCCGCGTGGTCCCGCTCCCGTCGCCGCACCCGCGCGCGCTCCGTGCGGTCTCCGCGCTCCACAGCGCGGTCCTCCTGGCGCTCTCCGCCGCCATGGCCGCCGGGTGCGTGCTCTCCGTGGCCGCCACGGCGCCCTCCGCGTGGTGGGCCTTCTGCTTCCCTCCCGGCGGCGCCACGGCGGCGTCGGGCCCGGTCTTCTTCTGGGCGCACGTGTTCTACCTCTCCAAGGTGTACGAGCTCGGCGACACGCTGCTCATCCTCCTCGGCCGCCGCCCGCTGACGCTGCTCCACGTCTACCACCACGCCGCCGTCATCGCCATGTGCTACCTCTGGCTCGCCACGAGGCAGTCGCTGATGCCCATCGCGCTCGCCACCAACGCCGCCGTGCACGTCGCCATGTACGGCTACTACCTCTGCTGCAGCCTCGGCCTCCGGTGGCCGCCGCGGTGGAAGCGCGCCGTCACGGAGCTGCAGATCGCGCAGTTCCTCTTCAGCTTCGCGGCGTCGGCGGTGATGCTGTGGCGGCACTTCGCCGCCGGCGGGTGCGAGGGGATGGCCGGGTGGGCGTTCAACGCCGTCTTCAACGCGTCGCTGCTCGCGCTCTTCCTCGACTTCCACGGCGCCGCCTACGCCGCCGCCAAGGGCAAGAAGAGCAGAAGCGAGGTGGTTAAAGAAGAGTAATGAGGTGATTAATAATCAGAATGCAAGAAATGTGATAATCTGTGGGTCTCCGTTTTCCTCTAATTTATTGGTTTCCTTTTTTTTTACATCATGATTTCATTGTGTTACCAAACAAGACGTTATTGTGCGATAATCTTGCTTGTCATCTGGGATCGATTTCTCTGCTGTCTGCTCGGTGGAGTAATTTCAGCATGAACTTGAAAACAAGAAGAGTGATGAACTTGATATCGATTAAAAACTGGGGGCGATTTCTCTGCTCTGTAATGGGCCGCGTCCTCCCAACCCCGTTCTGGGCCTACTAATATGGGCCTCACGAGTAAACTGGATTGTTTTATGTACACAATTCTTTTTGTCTTCAAAAATTAAAAATATACCCCTAACTCTCTCTGTAAAGACGTTTTTTATTTTTTTATTTATTTTGCGAAAACCGCTCTCCAAGAGGTCAGGAAGGGACTTAAATGCATTTTTTCTATATAGTTTGCCACTTTACAAATATGTCAAATGAAGTTGGATAAAATAAAACTTTACATCAAAATTACAGAGCTCAACAAGATCCATCAGCATTACTAGTAACTAAAACGGACGGGAAGTGAAACTGTAAATTAAAAAAAATATTTAAGGATTTCTTTTTTGAAAGGGCGACTTTTACAATACACAGTCATGCGTTAGAGTATACTCCATCTGTTAAAAAAAAACAATAAATTTAGACACGTGTGTCTAGTTTTGTTGGATTTAAATCTTTTTAGGACAGATGGAGTATTTCGTTTTTTTTTCCAATTATTTTTAAAATTTTTTAAAGTAAATATATAAATAAAAATTCTCCCGCGTAACACCCACGGGCTAGGCTTCAGTTGGGCTGTAAAATAGGCCTTTTTTTCTTTTAAAAAAGGCACCTTTTATTGTTCAGCCGGTATTTCCGGGAAGATCAATCTTGCAGAGTTGCTGTCAGAAAATCTGCAAAACTTGTCCCCATTTCTACTTCTAGCTGCACGAAATTTTGTAGTTAAATCATTATTTTTCTGTATTTCAAGACTTGCTCTCAAGTGGCACCTGCGAGGCTGTGAGCATGTGACCACGGTGACTGTGGTGTGCTCGTCGCATGTTACGCCATGGCGATTGGTGTGGTGAGAGGACAGAGGGGGCATCAGCCGATGCCGTAATGGCGTAATCACAGTTCGTTTCATTGCCAAGGTTACATAAGTCAACTTGAGATTTGCCAGCCAGTTTCGATGAAATGAGAAAGAAAAGCTTGAACAATAGCGTAGACTGATATGAGAAAAAAAGTATTTTTTAAGTACAATCGCAGACGACAAAATAGTCATTGATGATTGATTGATTGGTAGGAGTATACTGGATCTTCTTTTTTGTTTTCTATATTGCACATTTCAGTGTCGCGTGAACCAGGAAAGAAAGACTACCATTTCAGCATTTTCGGGACCTTCTCTATAATTATTGAAGCCACACGGCGAGATGAATAGCATAAGGCTGCCTTTTTATATACTCCTATGAAGAAAGTGGTATAACTCAGGTGGTATTTTTCTTCAAGAGAAAAAGGGGGAAAGTTGCAAGAAAGACTACTCTCCATTGATGATCAAGGAAACCACTAGAAAATCTACACTTTTGACAAGAGTCATTAGCAAAAATGTAAGTAGAAATATATAAGCAGGGAAATTATAGAAGAAACTCTCGACTAAATTCACATGAGAGGGGGCCATGGCCATGGCTTTTCTTTGATCAAGACTACACAGTTTGCACCTTGGCCTCATGATTCTCCTTTCTTACACAAAAACCGAGACGACCGATTCCACCAGAGGATGAAAATCCACGTAGATCCACCAATCAGCTCGCGAATTAAGGGGGAAAGAAGAGATTTGCACCTCCAAATTTGTCGCGGCATACTAGAAGCTACTGGGTGCCCGGCCGGAGAAGGCCATGGCGAAGAGGAGGATGACGAGGTAGAAGAGGATGACGACGAGCTTCATCTGGAACATGGCGAAGAAGAGCTTCACCATGAACACCAGCAACAGCGCGTCGAAGATGATCGTGATCGCCACCTCCAGTGGCTCCATCCCCGCCGCACCAGCCACCTGAAGGCTGCACTTCTCTTAATTAGACCACAACTGCGGGAGAAACCAACATCGTCCGGAGAAAAAGATTGGTAAAGTTGGGGATTGGTGCGCTATAAGCGTCAAGTAGTGGAGCATGGAGTGAGACGAGTGGGAGAAGGAAGGAGCTAGAAGGCGCACCTGACCTGACCCCGCTGCTGAGGGCGACGCGGTTTGATCGGTGATTGCGGGTGGGGAAAGAAGAATATGCGTAGTAGTACACGCGGATGTGAACTGCCCAGCCGCTGAGGTGTCTGGGCTCTGGGCGTCCGGTGCTGATCGGGTAGGCCGACACGAGGAGGGACAAGAGAGTCAAGCCGCGTGCCGACGATGGCACGAGGCAGAGCGATCAATTGCCACCGGCACCGGCCAGCCAATTTGAACCCCGCGGTTCAATCGGCTGCAGGTTGATGTGATTGGCTTGGAGTGCAATGCGCACGTCGTCCAGTTACCTTGGCTTTGATAATGAAATGCACAGCACAGAAACCTAAGGATCTGCACCTTCCCCAAAGATGCATCCTGAGAGGGTTCACACAGAAAGAAAGTGATGTTATTTATACGGTCCACATGCACTAATACTCCACCGTCCAATAATATAACAATCTAAAATTAGATGAGACAATTTATAATACAATAAATCTGGGCATGCATCTATCTAGATTCGTTCTAATATGAAATGTTCCATCCGATTCTAGATTGTTATATTATGGGATAGATGGAGTATGTATTAGCTTTTCAAAGATTATTATCGTGTACTACCTCTGTATTTTAATAGATATCATCATTGTTCTTTTATTACACATTTGATCATTCGTCTTATTCAAAAAAATTGTGTAATTATAATTAATTTTGTTGTGAGTTATTTTTGTTACTCAAAGTACTTTAAGCATGATTTATATCTTATATATTCACATAAATTTTTTTAATAAGACGAATGGTTAAACGTGGGTTCAAAAATCAACGGCGACATCTATTAAAAAACAGAGAAAGTATTATCTACCTGTTATAGGGATAAATTAAGTATTTTAAGAAATAAAACTAACAAATAATTTATAACAACTGAATTTCTTTTATATATCATATTTTTAGAAGCCTAGAGCAAAATTCGTGACAATAATATAGTGAATAAACTGAAAAGAAGATACTAGTCTAGTAGTATGTAAACAGATAATGAGTTCTGACTGTGTTTAGTTCCTTCCAAGTTTAGAAGTTTGGGTTGAAATTAGTACGATCTGACTGTGTGTACGACAGATTGATGTGATAGAAAAAGTTAGAAGTTTGGATTCAAATACAGCCTCTGTATCAGTCACTATGCTCGTCAGTAGTCCGACAGACCGACAGGCTAGGTTCGTTCTGACTTCCTGAGACTGAGAGGGAGTGGCGACTAGTGTGCATCTAATGCTGCCGTTAATGTTTATGGGTGGAGATATACGGTTTTCTTTCTTTTGTAAAAATAGCTGATTTCCCTTCGTTACAAAACATCTATCTATTATATTATTAAAGAAATAAAGAAAGGAGCCTCCACGTTCGCTCTCATGGCCTAGAAATCCTCACATTAATCGGAGAAAAAGAAAAGGCAAAGTCCATATAGAAATACAATTTAGAAATAGCTGAAATTCGGAATTAAAAAATAAGGAATATTAGAAGAGAAGACTAGAGTCCATATAGAAATACAATTTAGAAATAGTTGAAATTCGGAATTAAAAAAATAAGGAATATTAGAAGAGGAGACTAGAGATAGAAATAAAATTAGGAAATCACTAAAATTCGGAATTAAAAATAATAAATATTAGAAGTAGAGTATAGAGTCCATATAGAAATACAATTAGGAAATAGTTGAAATTTGGAATTAAAAAATAAGGAATATTAGAAGTAGAGTATACTGAAATTCGGAATTAAAAATAAGGAATATTAGAAGTAGAGTATAGAGTTCATATAGAAATACAATTAGGAAATAACTGAAATTCGGAATTAAAAATAAGGAATATTAGAAGTAAAGTATAGAGTCCATATAGAAATACAATTAGGAAATAACTGAAATTCGAAATTAAAAATAAGAAATATTAGAAGTAGAGTATAGAGTCCATATAGAATACAATTAGCAAATAATATAAATTTGGAATTAAAAATAAGGAATATTAGAAGTAGAGTATAGAGCCCATATAGAAATAGAATTAAGGAAAAAATAGAAATTCAGAATTAAAAAATAAGGAATATTAGAAGTAGAGTATAGAGTCCATATAGGAATTTAAAACTAACTAAAATTTGGAATAAACATAATAAAATTAAAAGTATAGTTTAGAGTCCGTATAAAAATACAATTTACAAATAACTAAAATTCGAAATTAAGAAAAACATGGGAAGAAGAGGTGAAGGTCAATATAGGAATACAATTTAGAAGTAAATGAAATTCGAAATTAAAAATTAAAGAATATTGAAAGATGAGTTTAGAGTCCACATAGAAATACAATTAGAAATAATAAAAATTCATAAATAAAAATAAATAATATTGGAAGAAGAGCATAGAGTCTATATAGAAATACAATTTACAGAAAATTCAGAATAAAAAAATATATTAAAAGACGAGTCTAGAGTCCATATAGAAATATATATAATTTACAAATAACTAAAATTTGATAGTAAAAATAATTAATAAATAGCACGTATATAAAATATAATATGAATATTACACATTAGTAGTTTTGTAAAGTTATTACAAAATTTAAAATTATGTTGTCATTTTAATATATTTGAATAATATAATGAGAAAACATATATGCTATTATATGAGAGAAAATATAATGATGCTAGCCGCGCAATCTGCGCGGGCCACCATGCTAGTTTGGTTAAACTGCACATTACTTTTTTGAAATCTAAAAACTGCGAAGCCAGCGCGTAGAGGAAAAACATTATTAGTACTATGGCGTGCAATCAAAATCCTTTTATAATCCATAAGTAAAAATAAAGAATACAGAGTAAATCACTTTATAATTATAAAGCTTTCATGTGAACGAGTTTACCTCAACCGGTAAAGAAGAATCAGTTCCCCAATCAAGCCATATACATGTAGCAGAGACGGCGTACACGGTACACTTCTGAGATTTCTCGACCGAACAGCTTCTAAGATCCAGTTGGCTGTACTGAGAAAACAAATAAATGTCAAAAGATCATTAAAATGACCAGTAATGCTGAAAAGACTTCGAAATAAGGCATGAATGCTGGTGCATCCGTGCATGTCCATTGTCAATTCACGAGCAGATTATAAAATATCAAAAGGGACGAAGATAGCAAAGTATTTACCTGATTTTCGATCAAACTGGAATAACGAAAGCTTAGACATTCTTTACCCACTTCAACGGTGACCCCAGAGAGTTCATACTCAAAGGTTATCACTAAAGCTAGCTCATAGCACAATTCATGCTTAGGGTTCTCGCACCCGGGACATCTTTTGCAGTAATCTTCATTTGAATTCCATATCAAAGGAGGCAATACAAGGTTCAGTAAACAAGTCAGGATAGTCACAATGCAGTAAATACACAGTTGAATTTTCTGAAGTTGTTCATCTGAAGTTGGTTGTTGTCAAATCACACGAACTTCAGCAAAAAGATACAGACATTCTATTCCAGGTTGCTACCATGCCGAGGTAGTGCTGTTTTGAAGAGCAGATTAAAAACAAACCACGGTGCTCAAAGTCAATAAACCAACAATAATGCCCTACCTTCTTTTGTAATAATCCAGCACGGCTATCACAATTTGCTAAAATTCCAGCTAGATGGTTGGAAGCAAATAACCATGAATATTTCTGGAGCTTAGCATATGAAGGCAACTATCATTTTTGGAATGTCAAAAGCAATTTCCTTTCAGCCATTCTCCAGAAACAACTCCATCCTGCTATCGTTATCTTTATGAACTAAAGAAGCAAAATGAGGTCAAAGCCTCGAAGGTTTTACTCCTATATGACATTTTTAAAAAAATCAAGCAATCAATTCCCATGTCAGCAAATCCAACATCTCATAAACATCCGGTAACAAGGGATGCTTTGTCTCCCAAGAAAAGAAGGCTTGATATTGACCTCTTATCTGAACCCAACTACACCCACCATCCTTTTTAAGATTGATCCCTTTCATTAGTATCCTCATCTCAGCAGCATCTTTCCATTTCCCGCAAGATGCATACATATTTGAGAGTAACACATAACCTGCTGTATTATCCTTGTCCAACTCCTGGAGCCTCTTTGCAGCCCTCTCACCCATTTCCTTATTCCTGTAAATGTTGCAGGCACTCAGAAGAGCAGCCCATGAATTTGCTTCTGATTTGCTTTCGATTTTCAGGAGAAGATCTTCTGCTTCTGCCAAATGACCAGCTCGAGCAAGGACATCAACCATACATGTATAATGTTTTGCTTTAGGTGATATACCACATGCCTGCATCATTTCGAAATAATGCATGGCATGCTCCACCAAGCCACTGTGGGAGCAAGCAAATAAAATGGCTAAAAATGTCTGCTCATTTGGTGTTATTCCTGCTGAGATCATATCCTCAAATAACAGAATAGACTCCTCTGCAAAACCATTTTCAGCAAGTCCTTGAATCATGGCAGTCCAAGCAACATCATTTCTTTTGGGCATTTCATAAAATACCCTCTTAGAGCTATCTAAATCCCCTGACTTAGCATACATATCACTCAGTGCAGTCCCAACAAAGATGCTTTCCTTAATTCCAAGCTTAATGATCTTAGCATGAACCATCTTGCCCATCTCTAAAGAACACAGGCTAGCACAAGCCAGGAGAACACTTGAGAAGGTAATTTCCCCTGGACTCTGCCCTGAAGCTAACATTGCATGGAAAGATTTTAATGCATCAATAAACTGTCTATTTTGTGCATAACCAGAGATGATTGAATTCCATGAAGCAACATTCCTTGCAGGCATCTTTTTGAAGAGTTCCTCAGCTTCCACCATTTTTGAGTTGTTGCTATAACCTGAAATGAGAGAGTTCCAACATACTATGTTCTTTTGTGGTAGGGAGTAAAAAATCATTTGTGCATCTGGCAACTGTTTGCATTTGCAGTACATGTCAATCAGAGCGCTGGATACAAATACATTATTGCTACAGGCCATCTTTAAAGTCTGGTTATGGATCTTTCTTCCGCTTCTTAAGTCCTGAAGGCTAGCACAAGCACCAAGAACGCTGGAGAAACATGAAATGTTTGGCCTACAACCATCAGCCAGCATCTGACTATACAAACTCACTGCTTCTTTTGCATTGCCTTTCTGTTCATGCCTAGCAACCAAAGTACCCCAGGAGACCTCGTTCCTCTCAGGCATTTCATCAAGAACCCGTCGAGCTCCCTCGAGGTCACCCAATTCAGCATACACATCAAGCAAAGCAGTCCATGAAACCACATCTCTCACCTCCATTTCATCAAACATCCTGCGTGCAGCATCTGCATCTCCCTTCCTTAAGTATAGTGTGATCAAGGAGTTGCGTACCCCAAGATTTTTGTCAAGCAAGTTTGATTTCATTGCCAACCCCACGATAGACATGGCCAGATCGAACTCACCTGCACCAATGCATGCCTTGATGACGGAGACCAAAGTGATCTCATTTGGACTCACGCCGCAGCTGAGCATTTCATGGAACACGCCGAGCGCATCCTTGGGGAGCTCATTGAGGACAAACCCCGCGATCATCGCGGTGAAGAAGGGAACCGAGCAGAGCGGGCACTGGCGATACAGCTCAACCGCATCCCTCACGGACCCGCGCTTCATGAGCGCATCCACCATGGTGGTGTACGACACGACGCTCCTCTCGGGCATTCCGTCGAACAGCCGGCGAGCGGAGACGATGTCCCCGGCCTTGACGTGCTCCCGCACCATGAAATCGTAGGCGAACGGGGACGCCGCCCCGACGACGGAGACGCAGTCCCGGAAGGCCCCGTCGCGGTCCGCCGCGCGCGCGAAGGCGGCGTAGGCGGTGAGGAGGTGCGACGCCACCGAGCCGTCCGCGGTCAGGCCGGAGACGAGCGCGTGCGCGTGGATTGAGAGGACGAGCGGCAGGTTTGAGGAGGCGGCAGCGGTGCCGGAGGCGGCCGCGGCGGCGGAGCAGAGCCGGAGGATGGACGCGCAGGTCTCCGCGTACGACTTGAAGGACTTCGGCGTGGGCGCGAGCGGCGGGCCGGCGGCCAGGCGGGACTTGAACGACTTGAGGCTCTCCAGTAGCGAGGTTGCCGGTGCACGGGCCTTCGCCGGCTTCGACTCCGCGCTCGGCTTCGGCGGCGGCGGCCGCCGCGGCAGCGGCTGCGGCGGCGGCCGCTTCGTCCGCACTGCCGGGCTCATGCTCCCATGGTTTGAACGAACCAAGAAAGCGTTTCCGTAGACTAGGCTGTCGTGGTGGCCTGGCCACAATCCCCTGTGAGGCAGCAAGGCGCAAAATTGATTTTGTTGGGTATTGATTGGCTGATAAAATCTAATTTTTTAGAGCAAATTTTTGCACAACCCTAGATTTTGGGACATCCGTAACGCAAATTGTTTCATGAAACCCAGGTTTTAGGGCAAAGTGTTTCATAAAACCTCAGCTACAAGTTTATATCATCTACCCGACTATATACTTATCTATAATTATTGTAAAAAATTGTATGAGATATTTTTAGTACATATACACATTAGTTGCTTTTCAACCATCGTTGATCATTGTTCTATGATCATTTATGTGTATATTTAACCAATTATTATGTCATTATCAGTTAGGAAATATTGAATTTCTTGTTCAATGAAAAATTCAGAAAAAAAAAAACTATACATATACACGTTAGTTGCTTTTCAACGATCGTTGATCATTATTCTATGACCATTTATGTGTATATTTAACCAGTTATTATGTCATTATCAGTGAGGATTATATTGAATTTTTTTGTACAATGAAAAATTAAAAAAAAAACTAGACTAGGGGAACACGTACTTTAAGAATTTTATTAAATATGAGTGTTTTACATAAATATGGGTTTTTTTTTAAATGTTTTGCTCCAAAACATTTGGTTCCTTGAAACAAACCACAATAACTGGATTTTTTTATGGATGCCCCAATACCCAAGTTTCGTGAAATTTACTCAATTTTAAATTAGGTCCTAAGTGTCCTTTAAAACTTTTATGATGAAAAAAGATAAGTGCTATTTTAAGTGTTTTTATTTATTTTATGTTTTAACCTTGGCTTTGAACCACTAAGAGTATAAGTATTAAAGTCATACCCTGCAACCATTTTTTTGGTTTGTTTATTTTCAGTACTGTAAAGAATATTTCTGTTTTGATGTGAATCGGGCAAAAAATTGCAAATTAACCTACATGGCCAACTTGCACATGGTGAACAATGGAGGCCATTGCAAATTAAACAAAGATGGCCATTGATCTGAACAGATTGATTCCATGGAACATATATTCTGAAGAACAAGTCCTACAAACCGATGATTTTGTTTTGTTCTCTGCACAATCATACTCAATGCTACAAACAAGACACGCCTGCAGTGGTGGCAGTAATTAATTCCTCACTGGCTCTTCTCCATCCCGTAGGTATCTTCAGCACCACTGGCAACCTTCCGCCTCCTCTCAGCTATCATTTCGGTGTATGCCTGACAATTCAGATGGTTAGTTCTACTTCGTTCTCTGCACAAACAAGCAATTATCTAACAGGAACTACTGCAGATCATGTTGAGACTTGAGAGTTGAGAACACATTCAGATCAAAGACTACAGATCGAAAGTAGACAATATGTGATGGTTACACCGACAAGGTCCAGTCGGAAATCAGAAATAATGCTCGTCACTTCAGGAACTACGGCAACATCTACAAAAAAAACTATAGTACAGTGTATGAAGCACTAGTCGACCAGGGTGATGTTAAATCTCAAGTGGCCACAAGATTTCTCTGCACTCACGCCGGCCTTTTGCATGTAGTACTTGCTATCTTGATACCATGCAATCTCAGTTGAGGCTATCATTAGCTAAATCTACCCTCTAGTGCTCTATGTTTTTAGTTCTCATGTATACAGCTAGCTCGTGAATTAAAGTACATCCCCTTAATGCAAACATATGCTAAAAAACTAAAATTATAGTGTCCATTAATTTTGAGATATTACTATGTGATTTTGTTAGGAGTAAAAGTCCACCAAGACACAGTTACAAACATTCTTGTGCACAATATGATGTGATGAAAGATGTATCTGATAGATTCTGGTAAGTGGGGGGACGCACAATCAGGGTAAGAAAGCTAAGTGTATAATTTAGCAGTTTGAAAAGAACCTATGCAGTTATGCTATAAGCCTGTAACTACATTAGTTGCATAAGAATTATGTCAAGACCAAACGAGAGTGTTATTTCAATCTACTTTCATCAACCGTCTGAAAATTCATTTTTTTTACGCAAAAAAATATTTTTTTGACGCAAGTCTGAAAATTCATGATCATGGGCTTGTGGAACAATCATAAGTGGAGCCAGTGTAACCTACAAGGCTCTGACCTCTAGCCAATCATATAAACACCACAAAGTGGCAAAAAGAATAAGGGAAATGGTTTTCAAACCTTGGGATAGGAATAAAGAAATATGTACCACCATGCACATATTACAAAAGAAACCCCTCCGGTGATCACAGCGGAATGGATGGGCAACCAACTACCGGCAATTGCAACAGCCCCTGAAAGTAAGATTGTCCAAGGCTGACACCTGAAAATGGGCATTATATATAGTTGTAGTGATCATACTCGGACAAAAGCATATGAAAGGATATAGTTCTGTAGAGTCAGAAGAGTTAAAGTTGTTAGAATGTTCAACAGAAAACAATAAAAGATGTTCTTTTTCCTTCTTATCTGATACAACTTGTGAAGATCTACTAACTTTGGAGGTTGATAGGAAATTGAAGAATTGGTAGACATCAATTAATCCATTGTTTATTTGAAGCAAAGACATAATCAAAATTCACTGGACCATTCAGTCATTGACGATGGACAATAGTATCACTGCATTTATCATTTGGCATTTTGGTTATAATTTACAATTCACAACATATCAACAAAATTTCAGATTGTTTTTCCTCTCATATATGCAGAGAACAGAATTTTAGTCTCTACTTTGTCCTACTACTATTTTGCTCAACTCAAGCTGCTTCAATTTACACTGCAAGAAACGAGGAACCAAGAAACCGTACCAAGAAGGCTTGGTGTCCCAGACGGAGTCGTACTCGAGCGACAGGTAGTTGAGGTACCCGTCCATGTCCTCCACCACGCCGTCCTCCCCGAAGAACTCCGCCCCTCCGCTCGCGCCCCCGTCCCCCTTGCCGCCGCCGCCTGCACGCGAGCTGCAAACCTCCACCGGAAGAAGCGGCGCCAGAGGAGGAGGAGGAGGAGGAGGCGAAAGGCGCTGCGGTCCTCGCGAGCCTGGGCGTCCGCGAGGGCGACCCGCCGCCGCCGGCCGCGCCGCAAGAGCAGCACGGCGGCGTGGACGGGAGCAGGCAGAGCGCGCCCATTTTTCTCGGCCTCCGCTGACGTACGGCGCGGCTTTCCTCTCTCTCAGAGCGGCTACCGATGCTGCGGGTTAATGGCCAGTATTTGTTTTGCGAGCAAATCCTGATTTGTAGCGGAAAAATTCGATCAAAATTCATTTTGTCTGCAAAACCGATCACCGGCCCCGGCCCAATTATCAGATAATGGGCCAGGCCGATGTTACCTGGAACTCGTCACGGCCCGTTTATGATTACAAAAGGCCAAGTTATACGCCAGCCCAACAACCTTCGACGTCGTCGCCAGCCGTACCTTTTGCTATCAGTTCTTGACGTCAAATAGGGTGTAAAGTTTCGTGGTGTTAACGTCCGGTATTGGATAGGGTATAATTTATGGTGTTCAGGTATTAATAAAAAAACTAATTATAGAATCCATCAGTAAACCGCGAGACGAATTTATTAAGTCTAATTAATTCGTCATTGGCAAATGTTTACTATAGCACCACGTAGTCAAATCATGTAGCAATTAAGCTTAAAAGATTTATTTTGCAAATTAATCGTAATATGTGCAATTAGTTATTTTTAAATCTATATTTAATATTTTATGCATGTGTTTAGATAATGTGATGTCTGGACGAGATCTATACACCCCCTATAGCCGAAAAATGTACTCTCTCCGTCCAAAAAAAAAAAGTAAACCCTGAGTTTCCGTGCCAACGTTTGACTATCCGTCTTATATGAAATTTTTTTATAATTAGTATTTTTATTGTTGTTAGATGATAAAATATGATTAATACTTTATGCGTGACTTATCTTTTTAATTTTTTTTCATTATTTTTTCAAATAAGACGGACGGTTAAATATTGGACACGGAAAGTAGGGTTTGTCTTTTTTTTTTTTTTACGGAGGGAGTACTCCTGTACAACCTCGACACACGGGGATCGTACGTTCCATCGTGACCGCGCTTTACAATTCTCGACCTCAACACGTGGCAACTGGCTAGTAGCTAGCTAGGGAAATATCCTCACGTACACATGCTATCCTGGCCAAATGATCAATCGATGCTGAGCAACCTACTGTAGCATGCATGCATGTGTCCGGTGAGTCTCTTTCGTCCAACGCACTACACGCCCAACAACCGGGAGTGTGCCCGATCCACACGACACGCGGACGGCGTACGCGTGTGCTCTTATCCGAAACGCCGCCGTTTCCGGATGTTTGTGTTACAACCTTATCGCAGAGACCGATCGGTGGGTGACTGATGAATATCCCTCCATTATTTTACTCAGGTATATATACTCTTTCCGTCACTAAATATTTAACGCTGTTAATTTTTTAAAACATATTTGATCGTTTATCTTATTTTAAATAATTACTAATTATTTTTTATTGTTAAATAGGACGAAAGTTCATAACATGTTTGAAAAAATTGACGGTATTAAATATTTAGGACGGAGGACTATATCGATAAGAACACGCGCGTACGCCTCGTCCCCACGTACGTCGCGCGCACGCCGGCGACGGCGACATGGGCTCCGATCCGCACCTCCCCGCGGAGCAGGAGGAGGAGGATGCGCGCGAGGCCGCTGTGGATGGCGACGACAGCACGGTGTGACGAGGTTAGCAGCGAGCGATCCTATCTAAACTGCCCAAACCCAACAGCTAGCGTCTAGCGATCGATCGAGGATAAAAATTCTAGAAACGTACGTACGCACCGTCCGTCCGTCCGCGTCAGCGCCCACGCACGACGCTTGCATCCGCCGAACTGCCGGTTGATGCGATGCGATCCCCGGGCGACGCGTCGGTCCAATCAAGTTGCCGCGCGCGAGCTGCTAGTAGGTGATAAGGCCAGGCACATATAAAAACGGGTCTCCCCATCTTTCCATTTGGCAATTGGCTGCACAAGAAGCAGCAAGGGAGTGACTCGGAGTCGTAAAGGCGAATATTTAGCTGCTACTACCTCCGTCCCATATTACTTGTCTTTTTTTGAGTTTTTATTTGTCAATATTTGATCATTTGTCTTATTTAAAAAAATTTGAAATTATTATTTATTTTGTTTGTCATTTGCTTTATTATCAAAAGTACTTTAGATATAACTTATCTTTTTTTTATATTTATACTAATTTTTCAAATAAAACGAATGGTCAAACGTTACAAATAAAAAGTCAAAAACATCGCCTATTATAGGACGGAGGGAGTAGGACAGTAGGACTGAACATACTACAGGTATTACATATGGCAATGACTAATGACGAATAGACAGATTTCGTTTTAAACGTGGGGAAAGTTCCTCGATTCCTATATTTAACTAGCCAGTTTAAAATTGAACGAACCAAGTTCCACTTGAACCGAATCGTTCCATATCAATGGTTCTTTTCATAACAGTGGTCCAGTTAATTGTCTAATGCATAATTACTTCTATAATCTTAGAAGGTATCTACTCCTTGATGGATGCAAGAACATTTCATTTGTATGGGACAGCTGCATCTGCTATTGTGCACGGTGACTACTCATTGCAGCTCTACGATTTTTTAAGGGGAAAAAATAGCATGCTTCAATTTGTACAGTGGCCACACACACACACACAAACAAAAAAAAAACAGCAATCAAAGACAAATTCCTTGCTCATAGTGCCATTTACATTTTACAGCAAACAAAAGCTGATCATCAGAACTGATATACACATGCATATTTCCTTGTCAGCCAGGCCCATATACAAATACACTGCACACGCACTCAGCATCAGGAATCAGAATAATTTACATGATAATTAATGGACAGTACTTGCTTTTATTAGTGGCGATTTGTTTATGTGCGAATGGATTAGGAACCGATTACGCCAGGACTGACGTTGGCTGGATGATGGAGTCCAGATCGGACCTCATTCCCTTCGTCTTCTCCGCGGCGCCGTGGTCGAGCTGTTCGCCGGCGACGGCGACGGCGACGCCGCCCCAAATCTCCGGGATGGCTCGCCGGAGGCTGCCGATGCTCTCAAGAGCGTAGTCGGCCTCCTTGCTCCTCACCCTCTTGCCAACCTGAATATTAATTGAGAAGATTAATTAGCTAACGTAAATTCGTGTTCATGCAGGAAACTTAGCCGCAAAGTATGCAAATTAGTTGGGTCTCAATGGGCTATGGCCCCTGTTATCAAACGTTGGCACGTCATGGATACTGTTCATCGATGCGATGGGTTAACGGCTGTACACTGGCAGAGGAGATTTTTTGTGTGTGTCTCCTGTTTTTTTGCCATTATTTTTCACTAGCTTTTGTTGTACTAGTAGGAAAGGACTATATATAAGTGCTATTTTTCTTTTTAGAAATTGGTTGTTGAAACCGAATCCAGCAAAGAACACATCGAAACCATATATTTAAAAAGTCTCTATATTTAAAATTATAAATTTTCCCTGCTCAAGTAGTATCAAGAGGCAATTTGTTCAACCAATCATGGGGGATCATATATGCCAGATATATCAATCACACCGACCAGAGCCGTGTCGACGACATGGCCAATTTGGTGCCAGCCACAAATGCGAGAGCACTAAATTATGTGACTAAGCGTCCATGTGCAAAAGCAGGATTAACCAATAATGCACACACAGTTTGAGTGCATAAACCAAACTCTTGGCATCACGGCAATGAAGAAATTGGGATATATGCTTTTCTAATCCGACAAGGCCAACACCATCAGCGATGCATCAGCTGCAGGGACGCTGTGTGCACCGGCCACCTGATCGACCAACCCATCGACAAATGGACAGGCAGAGACAGCAACTTATATGCCTCATTGATTTTTGTGTATTTTTCCCGATAATTACTATAGGAATTGAATCGATATCTACCAATCATGTAAATTTTTGGTGAAATTAATTTTACTGTGTTTTGAACACATCTATGTCCCGTTTGGAGCTAGTAAGGATTTTATGGTAGTGGAGAAAAAGATTCAGATTTCAAAACAAGGAAAATACTGTCACTTGGTTATAGTAGCTTAAACCAACAGTGCGGTACGAAGAAAACTGAAACACACAATTAAGTTGTGGTGGTTAATTACCAGGACGGTGCGGAGGCTAAGAGCTTTTCCTGCGGCGATGTTCCTCTCGCTGTCGTCGAGGAAGAGCTGACAGAGCAAGAACGAGTTATTTACTAGCTTCGTGATCATTGACAAGAGCACAAACGAAGCACGTAAAATCACATATACCATATGTGTGCGATATGTTTGTTTCGATGGAAAAGGATACGCTGACAAAGACCCTATTACTACTCGTTACTTTCTAAGCCTTTTGGGTTTACACTCGATGTCACTTTCCAAGATGCATAATACACTCTTTGGTCCATAGACATTCTATTTCCTTGTTGTGATAAGAAAAATGGAAGAGTGATTAATACATTTTGGGTTTGTAAATTAACGGTATCATTAGAGGATAGACCTGCTGTTAAATGTACATGGTTAGATAAAAAAAATTTGGTACTTCGAGTTACCTATATCGACTGGAGATACTAAACTTTTCACCAGAAAATGAGTTACTTCCCAGTATATTTTTAAGAATGATAAAATTGCCCATATGGTTAACTACATTTACATTGCAACAAGCTCCAAAAAATCCTACTGAAAAATGTCGAGCAGGGTGTGGTGGCTTACCGTCCGGTGTGGATTGGTGCCGGCGATGCGCAGAGCCGCGACGATGGCATCGGGGGACGGTTTGAGGATCACGCCGGGGCGGTCATCGCCGGAGGCGCACGGCGCCTCACCGAAGAGGTGAGGGTTCATGGTCTCGAAGCACACGACGGCGTCGAAGCAGCCCTCGTCGACGCTCAGCCGCTGCAGCGCCTTCCTCATGTGCGCGCGATCAGAGTTGGTGAACAGCTGAAACACGAACACGAATTAGCTGCCTCCAATTAAGTCCGGAAAACCACAGGAATTTCACAGGAAAAAAAGAGGATGCGTGAGCTTACAATTTTGCGCTGCGGGATGCTCCGCAGAAGGCCGGCGAGCTGCGGGTCGGCGGCGATCCGGTCGTAGGGCAGCCTCCCGTGCACGTAGCTGCGACGATAATCGATCAACCAAGCAGCGTCAGCATTCGGATTAGACAGAAAATTAGCCGCTTAATAATTACTAATTGGCTTGTCGAATTGGTTAAGCAAAGCTGCAAAGGTAAGTGATGTGATGTGTTGTGCTGACCTGTGGTACTCATCCGGGTGCACGTCATAGCCGAGAGCCTTTGCCGCGCGGAAACCCAAATCCGAAAGCCAAAGTTAGAAACGGAAACAGAGGACGAAAACAGAGGCGAATTTGGATTGTTCGAGTGTGCCGTGCGTGCGTGCGTGGGGGGATTGGGAATTGGACGTACGATGAGGCCGGCGAGCGAGCTGCCGTAGGAGCGGAAGAGCTCGACGCGGAGCGCGGCGGCCCGCTCCGCCGTGACGCCGCACCGTGCCATGAGGAACTCGTCGATGTTGCGCTTCGTCGCCAGCCCGATGCCCGCGCTTCCCGGGTACAGCGTGTCGTCGAGGTCTTCATAGAAAAGAAAGAAAGAAAAAAAAAACAGCCCGGGAAAGGCAGAGTTTAGACGGAGAATTGAAAGTGATCACGCTATGAGAGGAGCCTAGAATCGAGAGACAAACGTGGTTACCAAAGAGGACGCAGTCGAAAGGGGAGGAAGCGGCGGCGGTGGAGGCCATTGTTCGACGAGACAGAGGTGCGATGGCGAGAGCGATCAGACTAGCAGAGAGCGTGTGCTGATTGTAACGCGGGGAGAAGGAGGGGAGAGCGGGTTTGGGGGTGGGGGGTGCGTTTAAATAGAGCGGGAGACGAGCTGGGGGGAGGCGTGGATCACGAGAGGGAATTGGAATTTTTTTTGGTGTGTCGCCGTGGCGGTTCGGCTCGTGTTCCTCGCTGGACGCGGCGCTGTGTTGTGCGGTGGTCAGTGTGCGTGCACCGCTGGTTCCTTTCCTCGTGCGTGCTTGCGGGCGAAAGAAGGGAAGGGGGCGGCACTGCGGCACCTTGGCTGGCTCGCTTTCGCGATCGGTTTCGGCAGACGGGCAGACGGCAGCCTGCGCGCCTTCTCGCCGTGCGGTTCGTTCTCTGCTTCCGGCCTCCTCTGCTGCTGCAGCCCCTGAAACGAGGGCAGGAGGATATTTTCTGGCGGATTGACCAGACTGGGAATCGGAGATGGATTCCGGGTGAACCTCCACTCTGTTTCTTTTATGCAAACTCTAATGATTATAAACTTTTTTTAAAAAATGGTAAGATAAATTTATATATGAAATATATCACTTCACAACATAAAAATTTAAATCTAGCTTTTACAAGTTGTAATAAAAATAACAAAGTGAACTCTAACTAATATATTTTTTTACAGTTAGAAGTTCAATTCGTATTTGCATGTGCGTAAAATAATATATTACCATTAATTTATTTTATCATTTTTTAAAACTTTTACGTAATCGTTTAGTTAACGGTAAGAAATGGGTGAATGTCTACGGAATTGGGATTGTTACGGTAGTAGTAATTCTAGTGAAATACTCCTAGTCCTATTCAGCATTTGCATTTTTTTCCCCAGCAGTCTGATCTGAAAGTAGTAAACCAGTCAGCAGATCAAAGGGGATTAAATTAGTATACCAAAGTACTCCCTCCATCTACTTTTGATATTCATATTTCTAAATCTGAAAAATTTATTTTTGATTAGCATATTTCAATCCAACAACTTATCATATCAATGGCTTTCTTGGATTTAATGCGCGACTCTTCATTCTTACACACAAGATTGGCTACATGGGCATCGAGAAATATAAATATTAATGAATCGCCTGTTTACGATGAATGACTAGTAGCATATTTAAATGGATGATAAGTAGAATCATTTATCCTTGGTCTGTGTGCTAAGATGAAATATGACTATCAAAAATAGATGGAGAGAGTATTTTCCACACGGCAAATACGGAGAAAACACTGTTTGTATGGGCTTTGCTTTGCGCTTAAGTTTGCACTTAGCAGGCCTAAAGTTAAACTGGGCCAATCACCTACCGGTTTACTCTTCACTCAATCCGAACTCCGAAAATCGAGATTCGAGAAGGTTCGCGCGAGAAACCTTTCGTGCTCGATGCTTCCAGAACCCATCGATCTCCCAAAAACGAATGCTCAAAAACTATCCATCCATCCTCCGATCCGCCATGCGGAACCTCCGATTCGCCTCTCCAAAATCCAAAGCAAAGCTAACCCACTCTGCGAGTGCGCCACCGCGACCCACCCCCACTCCGGCGAGCCAATGGACGTCCTGAAGCGCGAGCTACAGCGGAAGCGCCAGCTGCTCGACGCCGACTTCGGCGGCCGCAAGCTCCTCCGCCGCGCCGAGATCGAGCGCCGCGAGATGGAGCGGATCCGGGAGGCCGAGCGCCGGCTCCTCCTCCAGAAGCAGCTCCGGTCCTCCTCCTCCCACCACCGCGCCGCGTCGCGCTCCACGACCACGCCGGGGGCTCCCGACGGCGACGAGTCGTCGCGGACCGAGCACCGCGGCGACGGGGAGGAGAAGGAGGGCGCGCCGCTCCTCCCCAGGGAGGAGGTCATCCGGCGCCTGCGCGTGCTGCGCCAGCCGGCCACGCTCTTCGGCGAGGACGACGCCGCGCGCCTCCGCCGCCTCCACGCCGTGCTCGAGGACCCCGCGGCGCTCGCCGACGTCGAAGCGGCGGAGATCGGGGAGGGCCAGACCAACGACTTCCTCCGCGACATCCAGGCGCTGCGGGCGAAGGCCGTTGCGGCGTCGGCGTCGGCGGCGGCGAAGCCCAAGGCTGGCGCTGCAACTGCAGAGAGCGGGGGCGAGACGAGGGAGGAGGTGCCGTTCGAGGAGCTCTGCGACGAGGACAAGATCATGACCTTCTTCAAGAGGCTGATGAGCGAGTGGAGCCAGGAGATGGACGAGATGCCCGAGGCGGAGAGGCGGACGGCGAAAGGGAAGGCTGCGGTGGCCACCTGCAAGCAGTGCGCGCGCTATCTCGAGCCGCTGTTCAAGCTGTGCAAGAAGAAGGTATGTGACAGTATTAATTCACGCACACACTTAAGAATCTGATGTTCTTTGGTGCTGTAATCGAATTTATTGAATGCCTCCGATGCTTTCAAAACCCAAAGTTAGTGGAGTGAGTCTGTAAGATGTGCTAAAAGAACAGTATGAAGCATTACAATTTTACAACCAATGTTTGCTGCATAAGGACATGTTAGGAGCTTGGGATGCTTCACTGTGGAAGGGGAAATGCAAGCCTTACAGAACACATGATATAGTGAAGAAGCCAAATAGGTTATGTGAGCTTCCATTTTGAAAATGCACTTCATAAGACATGCAACAGTTTCGATGAAACACCAAACTGCCTTTGTACTGGTGGCACATTGTAGATATTGCAAAATTCGTTTCCAATATCGGCTATAATTTTGTAGGCATGAACTAAGTGGTAATGCTACTGAGTGATTTGAGTGTGTTGCAAATATTGTTTAATGTGTTCTCTTCTTAGTTCCTTGTAGCATGAAGATGTTGACAGACAGAAGCTGGTAATCATCATACATTCCGGCGAACAAGACAGCAGATATTACATGTATTCTTCTCAAGTTCCAACCTTTGCGCTTTCTTATTATCAAAGTGTCTCATGATGTGTTCAGACTTCAGAGTTATAAATCTCTGTTCCCCGCAAAAAAAAAAAAAGAAGAGAGTTATAAATCTCTGTAACAGAGGAATATATTTGTCTTAATTTTTCTCTTTGCCTTTGAAATAGGAGGGTGCCATTCTGAATCTTGAAACAACAAATCAATTATCAGGTTGCAGATTATGCTTTTAGGAAGTTCGATAATTCCTTCATGATTTCCCTGGATTAACCTACTACCTTCCCTCCGGATGATAATGTCAGAGAATGTGCTCTCTGTGATCACCACTAAGGTTATTTTGTGTTACTTGTGGCAACTTATTTTCTGTATGCTAGTGTGTTCCCACTGGAATTATGGGTAGTTTTTCTTGAAATGGATTGTTTAACGTTGCCAATGCTTGCTGAATTGTTCAAAATTGCCAGTGCTTGCCATCATAGGACCTGCTCTGCAGTATGATCCAAGAAAATTATTTGCTGCTACTATTCTTCACCTACAGTTGCCTCATTAATCCAAACTTTTTCCTTCTTGATGTACCCAAATATAATGGGTGTGAACAATTCTGAATCACCTTGCTAATTCCTTCCACATTTTGATGAATCCAATTATCCCATGACAGACCCTGCCCGAAGATGTCCGTGGATCATTGCTGGAGGTGGTGAGGTGCTGCATGAGACGGGACTACTTGGCGGCGGTGGACAACTACATCAAGCTCGCCATCGGCAACTCGCCGTGGCCGATCGGCGTCACGATGGTGGGCATCCACGAGCGCTCGGCGCGCGAGAAGATCTACGCCAACAGCGTGGCGCACATCATGAACGACGAGACGACCAGGAAGTACCTGCAGTCCGTGAAGAGGCTGATGACCTTCTGCCAGAGGAAGTACCCGACGGACCCGTCCAGGTCGGTGGAGTTCAACAGCCTGGCCAACGGCAGCGACCTGCAGTCCCTCCTGGCGGAGCAGAACTCCAAGAACTCGGAGGAGACGCTTCGGCTGGTGGCCGCGTCGTGACGATGGAGGAACCTGTCCGCGTGTGGTGGAATTGATGGTGGTCTCCTCTTTACGCCCGTTAGCAATTTGCCATTGCACTTTGCACATTAGTAATTGGAAATCATTACAGGCGTGCTGCTGGCGTGCTTCCTCGCTGATTATAAATTGCACATTGGTACACCATCTAGTCGTCCTTGACTGTCAATTACTCAATTGCCGCTGTGATTAAATTACAGGCGTGTGCTGCTGGACTGTGTATTCAGTTATCCACTATATCCTGTCGCCCTTGGAGGCTTGGACTGTGTTAATTGGAATGATGATTAGTGGTGGTGTTGCCTTGTTGGACATCGATCACAAGATTCCATGATTCCATCCACCGATCGGTAGCCTTGCTCTTCCAGCTTTTTCAACGTAATTCATCGGTTTTTAAGCCCCTAATAACACACATATAAAAGTTTTATCTATATTTCTTTAAAGATCTTAATAAGTGTTATGATTTATAATCAATCGTAGGTGAAACGACGAGTATAATTTATCGTAGGCGAAACGATGAGGTATCTCTGTGCATTGAGTATAAACGAAGTTTCTTGGACTAAAAGCTACCCTTACCAAATCTTTAGGGTTTTTAACGATTGCAATAGTTCGCTGAAATATCTGCATTCCACGCTAAAATTGGAAGTTTAAAGAAATTGGAACGATGTGACAGAAAAGTTGAAAGTTTGTGTGCATGAAAATTCAATGTGACGGAAAAGTTAAAAGTTTGAAGAAAAAGTTGAAAACTAAACAAGGCCTTAGCATTAACAACTTTCGAGGTTAAAAAAAGGTGATTTGAAAGAAGAGAAGTACCTTCAAACATTTTTTTTAAGAAGAATCTCTCTAAGCTTTTAACGATTGCAATAGTTCGCTGAAATATCTGCACTTAGCATTAACAACTTTTGGGTTAAGAAAAACGTGATTTGAAGGAAGAGAAATCCCTCCAAACATTTTTTTAAGAAGAATCTCTCTAAGAAAAAATTATGAGCGTGCTAAGAATTGAACACAAGATCTTGAGGTTGAATTAATAAGAGTTTATACGTTGAACACGGGTCCGCTTCCGTGTAAACCCCGAGGAACTCTCCCTCCCCACCCCAAAACACGTCAGGTTTGTTGCCAGTTGTAGCCGCAGATGCACAAGCTCGCTGGAGCGAGAGAAGGTGCCACGATACAAATCTTACAACAGATCTCGGAGGGTCGAATGTATACAAGATATCCGATAATACAAACTGTTTAAGCCTGTAATTCTTCTTCTTTTGAGAAGGTATTTCTTCTTTTTTAACTGGCTTGAGCCTGAAACTCTCGTTCGAACAGGGCCTAAGCCAGAAAGAGCTAAAGGGGTAAACAAGGGAATTACGGGCCTGTTTGGTACAGCTCCAACTCCTTAATATAACTCCAGGAGTTGAGTCTGGAGTGGAGTTGTGGAGCTGCCTAAACCCAGCTCCACAACTCTAGTACATTTTGTGAGAGAGCTCCACCCAACTCCACTCCCAGTTTTGGTGGAGCTGAAACTGTTTGGTTGAGCTCCAGCTCCAGGAGGGGTGGAGCTAGAGCTGGAGCTGTGCCAAACAGGCCCTACGTGCAGAAGGGGAATCGCGATTTCTCAGAAAACTGATGCTTTCATTTCGTCTTAGCAATTAATAGTCAGAAAGTTCTAACAATGCAACCCTAGAAATCAAGCACCCCAAGCTCAACTGGGACACAGCAGATATTATTTTCAGAAAGTAAATACTGGTTCCTTTTTGAGGTTTTCCCAGTGGCCCACAGAATCTAACCTCAACCTTCCCCTGACGACAATCGCCATGGAGCTGTCAAATCTGTTCGACTTCAACCTGCAGGAATAGATGCAATCAGCATCAAACCACAAGTACAGCGACAGTCTACAGCTTGTGCGGTATCAGGACATACCTCCCGCTCCAAGATTAGCACCAGGGTGATCAAGGACAGATGCCGCTTGAGCACTTGACAGTAGAAGTATGCAAATGCCATACATGTTCTCAAAAGTCAGTAAAGCAAACTCAAATCAGCAAGATGGTCATTCTACACAAGTCTCAGACAAGCAACCTAAATTCAATAGGTAAGGACATAAGGTGCGCAGAGAGGTTTGAAATAATATGATATCAAAACATCAACGATCAAAATTGTTAATTTACATTTTCTTCAACCCAACTAATTCCTAGTAAAATGAACATATTGCTTTACAACTTCACTTGCTGTGAAGCAGAGATTGCTCAGCCCCATACACATCCATGATGTTCTGTGACAGTATACACTTCTGATGCAAACCATGCCCTTCATACAAAAGCTCAGGGCATTTGTATGCTGCACAAACTCCAGGAACCCAAGCACAAAACCACATGAAAACCCAAAAAAGAAGGCAATATGTGAAGGCCACATGCTCAACATTGCTGAGGTTACTGTTCAGCTATGATGACAACACAGACTGTAGGGCAAGCTGTTGCTGCGGCTGCAAAGAAGACCATGTTGACGCCAGTACTGAAGGAGGCAATGTAGTCTGAAGCTGTCTTAGCAAATTAACCATCTTACTAAAAGTTTGTTCTGTTGCCAGATCCTTACCCGCACATAATATCTGCATCCATAAGGAAATAGATGTGGTGTTACAAACCAAACAATGTTCTAAAAGCCATGGTGGTTAATCGCCTAAGTCTCATACTCTCATTAAAGTATAACTACTTTCTTTCTCAAAACTCAGAGAAAACAAATCACCATTTTGGAATGTCTCCCAAATATCTTATTTCAGGGGCTTCTACCAACGATACTACACAGCAGTACATGAGACAAGCAAATGCTATCTTTTTAAATTATCTAAATTAAAGATAAAGACATTGCATTGTGAAAAATCAGTGGTGAAATATGTTCCTTTTTTTTTTGTGTGTGTGTGTGTGTGGGGGGGGGGGGGGGGCTACATTATAGACCAGATAAGCCATAAAATGTCTTGTTTATTCATATTCGTTTGAGATCTAAATTGGCAGTACCCTGGTGCTATGTACTCCTCTACTGAAAATTATTTAGCCCCTATAAAGCTATGTTAAGCTTGTAGCAACCCAGTTCAGGATCAAAAGGTAGTTAACCTAATGGCCTCAGTTGGTGATGAATTCCAACTGACCAGCCAAACACAATCAACTCAACCCCATTTCAACATAAACATTCCAATACTGCTCTGCAACTAGTTGTGTTGCAGTTCTTTCTATATAGTTAATCAGAACAAAAAAGGAAAAATTAAGGAAAAAAATAAATAGGTACCTCCGCAAAAATAGAGACAATCTTTGGAAGATACTGGTTGTTATGACCCAAAAGCTCCCTATCTGACCTGCAAAAATTGAAATGAGATCTTCAATGAAATGAAAAATAAACATTATAATAAGGAAGCAATGAACAAGATTGATGTTTCTACACCATATATAAGCCAAGCTGCGTAACTGTACAAAAATACTGAGATCATTACTTACTTCTCAAGCATCGTACAGAGTTGTTCATGAACTATCTTGGCCTCGATTAAGTCATTTTTTATTGGCAAACAACTTAACCAAGCAGGAACAACCTGTTAATATTTAAAAAATGATACACGGTTAGAACTTAGAAGCATTGCATGGTTAAGGAAATACTACACATAGTATAATAAATCTACGACGACTTGGCAGACCTAATGTAAGTCCAAAATGGACACTACTCTAGTAAAGAAGAGTTCTCATGTCATTTAACTGTATGTTTTAGTAGAAAATTAATTCAATAGTACTGAGCAGTCACTTAAGGCTTTCAACCCGTTCATTCAATGTTTTTGCATGTAGCATACTGTATGCGGCTGAGGCTCTTTAGGCTGTTACATGCTTTATGTTATTGACGTTGATGTCAAAATTTATCAAGGGCAACTGAAGAAACTTGGTATTCTTTGTCTCTGTAGACAAGAGTTTAATTAATCAGCAGGACAGGTAGCAACACCATGATTTCAAATGAGTAAGAATACACTTCAGAGTAAGTATATTAATTCATATGGCTTGTAAGACACCTGAGATGCATCAATGCCATCACGATGAAACTGACATATTTTCCCAAGAGCAGAAACAGCATTGTCATATGCCATCGCATTATCCAAGTCCAACGCATTGGGATGTTTGATTACATTGTATAGTCTGGACAGGGCCTCTGCAGATATGAATTAACAACATCAAAACATATTCAGCTATGAACTAGCCTAGCTCACCGTAAATGCAACACATACCACCAGTGTGAGGCCTAAATGCAGAGCCACCAAACTCAGCGCAAATGCCAATACCATAAACTGCAGCCTGAAAGCAGCATGAAACACATACTCTCATTGTTTTTTTCAAAAAAATAAAAGAACTTGATAAATGAAATATTGCATACTGTTGAAACATGAAACTTCATGCATCAAGTCATCAAGTAGAACATAAAATATTTCAAACCTGTCTAATATCTGGATTTTCACTTGTGCAGGCTTCTAATAAAGAAGGAAGATATGTATCATAATATCTGAGAACCACAGATCATACAAATTACGTTTCATCAAAAGTTAGAAGAATCATTTCATCCAATAAAAAGGTTAAAAGGGTCATTAAACTGTTACCTGACAGCTGCTTCGCGACAGTGCTCTGCAACATCATCAAAAATGCATATGGCAATCCTTCGTTCCTCTACTGTTTTGTCCTTGGCCTAATATTATTAACAAAAAAAATACTTATAATCGCAGAAGGTTCTTTTTTGTCCTTGACAGAGTATTTTTTTTGTAATAAGATGTTCTATGTTTATCACAGGCTACAAGATCTGAAAATGAACTGGAATAGTTTCTAGTAGCTTTATGTTTACTCTTTGGAACATTTAAGCAAAAGATTTCTATGGCAAGCCAAGAAAAATTCTGGGTAAAGGGAATATCTGAAAATGACCCCCAAAAGATATAGGGTCCAAGGTTTCACATTGCTAGAAAAATCACTTTTGGTGTAAAGTTCAGCATTCAGTATGTTGCCCTTCTATCACTAAGAAAACAGAAGTTCCAATCAAATCAGATGGATCCACTTACCAACATAGGTGTCAAATAGACGGAAAGTTCATCAAAGAATGGAAGGAAATAAGTCTTGAACGTCTTAACAAGAGTGCCCAAACAATCACCAATCTGTGAAAATCACAAAAGATAAATCTGTATAAGTTATTTCCAATAAAGCTTGGAAAGTAGAAGTCACAGCTGTGTCTACAGTTTAAGTTGGAAGTACAATAATCATGCTTGCTCCTTTTGGTGTCTAAGGTACTACCGCGTTCAACTTTACAAGGCAAGATTTAACTTAGCA